GTAATGAAACACGACGTAAGAATGAAATATGCTGTATAATTTTAATATTTTAACACTTAACATTTATCAGTATATATGATAAATATATATTTTAGTTATTTTAGTATGTATAGACAAGGCATGCAACGAACTAGTTTGTCGTGGATTGGATCAGCACCTGAAGATGGCACATTTGTGCCGAAACATGTAGTGAGAGTGAGAAGAGGGGATAGATGAATGTATGCACTAGAAGACGGATAAAATAAATCATGGACTTAAATCAGTGCAACAGGACGCTAAAATATAACATTCCTTTAGTAAGTTTAACTAAAGTTCAAAAAGGAGTATATTATTCCGGTATTATATTAACTCCCTACCCCTCAATATCAAGCAAGTTGCAATAAATTTAAACATATATTGAGAAATTTTCTTATAGAAAACTATTTTTATTCTGTTGAAGAGTATCTTGATAGGAATAATAAATTTGATCTTGGGGTATCCCAGTAATTACAGTTTCGTATTTTAGTTTGCATTCATTAGTGTATATTTTAATTTATATTTTATATAAAATATAATTATATTTTAATGTATATTTTAATTGCTATTTATCTTATGTTAAGGCAATCTTATGTGATATATAAAAGAGCACGCGGTAGCATAGTTGGTTGAGGGGCTATGCTACAAGCCAGAAGGTCATGGGTTAAAGTCCCGATGAGGTCACTGGATTTTTTCAGTTGACCTAATCCTTCTATCCACACTAGGCCCTGAGGTTTACTCAGCCTCTAACAGAAATGAGTACCAAGAATTAATTAAATAATTTTCCTGGGGAGTAAAGTGCAGCCGGCACATAAGGCTGACAACCTTACTGCCATCTTTGAGCCGATTGTCTACATAGTGTGGGACCCTCAACATTTCACAACACTATGGGCTTTCACGGCCTGGTACAGGGATAGCTTTACTTACTTTTTATGTGATATATAAATGTAATCTACTGACAATTTCTATATCCAATGCTTATGTACCTGAATGGATTGATGAATGACAATAAAAATAAATAAATACTGAAAGAGTTAATATTGATGTAGAAGATGGAAAAATGTCATGATGTATCTGGAGACTTCCCATCCATCCACTGACACACCCACCAGAGGAGGTAATTCAACTTAAGTCTTGGCCAGATACCATTATTAAATCTACTTTACTTACTATTTAGTATAACAACAGTAATCATTGTGATGGTAAAGAATGTTCCAGGCCATTGAGAGGAGTCAGTCATTGCTAGGATTACAGTGATAATGAATACTACAACTTCCACCAATATGCTCCATACTATTCGAGTTGTTAAGCTGCCTCTGAAATAATATAAAGAATGAAACTGTTCATCACAATACATATACATTTCTTTCATTATCCTATTATGTTCCAGTCAAAGAAGGCATTCAATTCTACTGATTTTTGTATTCTTGCATTCTTTCTTCCAAATTAAAAATTTCCAACTAGATGTGTATCATATTACTGTATTCATGATCACAGAGATTATGCACAGATCATCAGTGTAGAAATTTCATTTCTGCTGTTTCAATCTGTGCTATTTAATTCCCCAATTTCAGATCCACGAATACATTAACACACAGACTGCTTTTAGTTTATAAAATCTTAGTGATGCTTCTCTTCTATTTTTTAACCTCAGCAGTAGAATGTATAATTAATCTGTCCCTTCTAAAATCAATGTACACTGAACATTCCTGGGTAAAATATGTCACATATACAACTTAAATCCACTTACACATAACTCCACAGTATGTTTCAAACAGAAATAATATGTACAGAAGGCACTCAAAACATTAAAGTCAGGAGAGAACAGAAGTAAGATTTTTTTTTAATTTGCTTTCTGTACCTTACACACAATATTAAGCCATATATTAACTTTTAAGTAGATAAAAATGTATTTATCTATCAATGCTACATTATTTATGCAGCTGAAAAAGACAAATATTAATTTAAGTAAATGCAAATATTTTGATTACATCAGGTTTCATTTTAAACATGTTTTAGAGTATAAGCCATAAGCGGTAACTTACCCAGCATCTAATGGTATGAAGATATTGATCCAGTTTAACAAAAGATTGGGAATTTGAGCTGCAAAGCCAACATAAGGCAGAAAATTTCCAGCATACTCTGTTTTTGCTAACTTGTAATCTTCAAAGTACTGAGGAAAGAAAACAACATATAAACAAGAAATTCTCTATAAAGTTCTACAGATAATAACACATTTTAATCCTATCACTGCATGTCACTTGGTTGTGTGTGTTGATAAATTTCCACCTGAGTCAGAATTGCAGTGTTCCACCAGTGCAAATATATATACGTGGTGTGTTCAAAAAGTATCGAACCTTCTTTTTTCCCGCGTAAACCAATGAAGGGCTGGAGGCTCCCTTCGGTGGAGATGTGGAGGGGACATTCATGCGCAGTCGTGAATTGTTTCATGCTCGCAGAAAGCGTCAGTCGCTGACAGTCAGCCTATGAGTGAGGATGTGTAGTGAGCGCTCATCGGATTCCAGTAAGGTGTAAAATGACGGAACAACATGAGCAGCGATATTGCATCAAATTTTGCCAAAAGCTGGGCGATACCCAAGTGGAAACCATTCGCAAGATTCAACAGGCTTTCGTGGACGATGCCATGAGCAACTCACGGATAAAGGAGTGGTACAACCGCTCCAAAGATGGCCGCACATCAGTGGACAGTGAACCGCCTTCAGGCAGACCATCAACAAGCTGAAATGAGAATGTCATTGAGCAAGTGCGGACTTTGGTCATGGAGGACCGTCGTATCACAGTCCAAGAACTTGCGAACGAGATAGGGGTAAGCACTGGATTGGTACATTCATTTTTGACCGAGGATTTGGGCATGAGGAGAGTGTCCGCGAAATTTGTACCGAAACTGCTAACAGTGGAGCAGAAGCAACGCCGTCTGGAAATCGCACAGGACATGCTGGACAATGCAAACAGTAACCCCAACTTTCTGAACACCGTGATCACAGGCGATGAGTCGTGGGTTTATGGGTACGAGCCGGAAACCAAGATGCAGTCATCACAGTGGAAACATCCGACATCCCTGAGGCCGAAAAAGGCACGGCAGGTCCGTAGCAATGTCAAGGTCATGTTTGCCGTTTTCTTGGACTCCCATGGGGTTGTGCATTATGAGCATGCACCACAAGGCCAAACCAACACAAAGGAATACTACCAGGAAGTCCTTCGTCGCCTTTGTGATGCTGTGCGGCGCAAACGACCGGATCTGTGGGCAGCAAAAACTTGGCAGCTCCATCATGATAATGCACCCGCCCATTCTGCGCATCTGATTCAGACTTTCATCGCCAAACACAACATCCCTGAGGGTTCGTCAGGCTCCCTACTCCCTCAATATGGCTCTGTGTGACTTTTGGCTATTTCCCAAGCTGAAAATGCCGCTGAAATGAACCCGATTTGAGTCAAGAGAAGACATCATGCAGAATGCGACACCCCGGCTGATCACCATTCCAAAAGACATGTTCCAGAAGTGTTTCCAACAATGGCGGAAGCACTGGGAGAAGTGTGTGCATTACCAACGAGACTACTTTGAAGGGAATTAGGGTTTTGTACCTCCAAATCAATAAACGTATTTCTGCCGACCAAAGGTTCGATACTTTTTGAACACACCACGTATATATTTCTTTCTACTATCAGAAAACATACTATGTAGGTAAGTCAATAGGTAAGTTGTTTGAGCTGCTGTCGCAACCAGGTGGTGACTTCCCTTTCCACAGCTTCATCGTTGGGAAAATGTTCAGCTGAAAGATGATGTTTGAGAGGGCCGAACAAATCGAAGTCGCATGACAGGTTAGGTTTTCACAAAGTCTGTGCACAATGGGTGCCACACATGCTGACCCCACAACACAAAATGCAGAGAATGGGTCTGCCATTACAGCATCCCAATCACTATGACAATGAAGGACATGATATGCTAGCCTGAATTGTCACACGTGATGAGTCTTGCTCCAAGTGACTTCCATTTGTTCAGTTCTCTTAACCTTTAAACGCCGGACTTTTAAAATGGTGGTAAGCTTCAGCTGGCCAGAGTTTATTTAAATGCTCGCTGCTGGTGCGTGTTTAAATGCACGTTCAGGTTAGGGCACTTAAACAATTTTAAGTACTGTGATTAAAAATGATGTGTCTAACACAATTTTTATGATAAATGGATGGAATTAACTTTGTTTGTATCAACAAAGAACATAGTGTTGCATATTACAATGGAAGATTTGAAAAATTTTATACAAAAAGTTATACTCTATTTTCAAATTTTTTTGATGTGTACTGCAAAATTGATTTCCAAGTTCTTCACAGAGTTATTCTGCATTACAAATTCGTTTCTGTTTGTAACACTTGACAAATTTTAGCAGTCCCTGGTGCCATAAACAGATGGAAGCAATAAAATCATTTGGTTCTCTGCTGGAAAACCTTACATCTTTGTTACACTCTTCAGATTTTTTAATCTTTTGACTAAATGACAGAAGAACGAAAGCATGGCTATTCAATAAATAGCTAGAGGGGTCCCTTCTTCAGTGGTAAGACCTTCCGTTAAAGCCGCACGAGATTATTGCCCTTTCTAGGGTCATCACGGTTGAGATACAGAGTATGATCTGTTTTCTGTGCATTCGTAGTGAAATAGAATACTGTAGTTTCATTTCAGCCTATATATACATCAAGCAGATAACAACAAAAAAAAGGTATGTACATCAAATTTTACTATATATTTTTAACACATTAATCTGCAGAATCTGCAATAAAAGTACTGGTTCGTGGATGAGTTTGGGCATAACTCGTACATATACTCTTTTTGTTGTTGTTCACTTAGTATCATTTTAATTCCTCTATTAGGGTTTTACTCAAGTAATTACATTTAAAAATAAATACTTAGGACTGTGAATGCGCTTCTACTAGGGGCGTGTGCGCGCACTTCCACTAGCAGAGTTTAAATGCCCGACTGGTCAAAATGGGGTACTTTGGCCACGATCATCTTACACATCACTGGCCCGAACGAGGCACTTCGGATGTTAAAGGTTAAACATCGTCTTTTGGCTGAACATTTTCCCAACAATGAAGCTGTAAAAAGGGAAGTCACCATCTGGTTCTGACAGCAGCCCAAAGAATTTTATGCTGCTGGTTTTCAGGGGCTTGTGAAATGATGGGACAAGTGCCTCAATGTACAGGGAGATTATGTTGAGAAATAAAAGCATTTTTCAAATCAGTATTTGATTTTTTTTTATTTTTCCCCCTCGTTGGTGGCTCCACCTAATCGTGGTGAGGGGGTTTGAGTATGCCAAGGACCCTGAGAGCTATACCAGCGGTAGCGTAGCTACTGGCAGGGCCTCCCTTGCTGGACAGGTCAAAGGGTAGGCATCAGACGAAGAGAGACACCAAAAACTGATGCCGGAAGCAGCGTCATCAGCAGCGACTTGAAGCACAGAGTAAATAATGCTCGAGATGGTTCAAGTTCGTATAGCAACAGGCGTGACCAGAGTGGTTTGAACGCCTATTGTACTGCGATGTGGAAAGCAAATGGAAAAACTACCACATTATCAATTTTCCTGGATAGTCTCTTTCCAAAACCAGAGATACCATGTATGCGAGATTTGAAGGAGAAAGCTCTAGATCGCATCAAGTGGAGGAACTGTTTTGGAAGAGACTGTGGACCTGTCGTCTTGACAGATTACTGATGAATGAATGAATTCTTAATTTTTAAGTTCTATATCCATTTGTAACTTACTTACTGACTTACCCATGTATATCGAAACCATTCTCTTGTAATGCGGTACAAAGTCTGACTCTCGACACGAGATACGGAAACTCTACATATTTCTTGCCTCGCCCATCTTAACTAGGAGTCAGGATAGCATAGTTGGTATAATGACTGGCTACAGGCTGGACAACTGAGGGGTTGGAGGTCAGGTCCCAGTAGGGTCAAGAGTTTTCTCTTCTCTACGTCATCAAGACTACTCTGGGGTCCACTCAACCTCCAATCCAATGGGTACTGGGGGCTTCTACCCTGCCAGTAAAGCATCCAGAGCATGAAGCTGACCACTCACGTCCAGCTAGTGCTGAGGTCAAGAAAATGTGGATCTATACATCCACTCACCCATACACCTTCATGGCATAGTGCTTAATTAGTTAAGAACAGGGACAACTTTACCTTTTTTTACCTTTTACCCATCCAAGCTACAAGCTCAGCCCATCATAGCCTCCACAGTCACTATTCTGACAATACTATGTGACCATCACAATTGATTTCATATATGCTATACTGTTTATTGGCTTGAAGATCTTATATATAGATTACTATATGTTATATGGAGGTGAATCTTGGACAACCAAGGCAGGAGACATAAATAGAACAGTCAGTAAAGATGAGATAATTGAAGGCTGCACTAGGCCAGATGAGATTAAGAAGGAAGATATTGTGATATAAATGAAACTGCAGTCAGTAGAAAATAAAACAGATGAGCACAGGGACAAGTGGATAAACGCTTTGAACATAATGACTACCTACCTACCTACCTACCTACTACTTGGCACTACAGCCCTGGGTGAGCCTTGGTCTCCTCTACAACCAGTCTCCACAACCAATGCGTGCTGCCATAGGAATGGATCCACGCATGATGACCCGAGGCTGGTTGTTAGGTTTCTGAACAAAATTCTTTTTACAGGATGAGGTTTTAGCCTCTCTGAATAGAAGGACTGAAGAGAGAAAATCAAAAACAGATTCTACAGCAGGCCTGCATAAACTTCCTATAAATCTAGAAGCCACCTCGAAAACAAGCAGCCTGAATAAAAAAAAAACAAAGTATCTCAGGTGCACAATTTTCTTTGTAATAGTAAAAAAGGACAACTGAAATAACGATACATAAACAACAGTCAGTACCCATCATGCTAAGTGAAAATGTTTATTTATTTATTTACGTCATATCCATGGATCATTACACATGATATAGGACAAGCCAAATACTTTACAATAATAAATAAGAATAATAATACTATAATAAGTAATATACTAAGATAATGCAATGATTGTAATAATAGAACTAATATAATCGTTTAACACATGACACCGCTGTACACCTCAAGACCCAATCCTTCTATCCCAGCACACACATAAACTATATTCTGCCATTCCTAGGATATGAAGAGGAAGGATGGGGGAGACGAATAAAACAGATGGGAAAGGAAAAACGGAGAAAGGAGGGCAGGAGATGAATGTACAAAAGACAGAGGGAAAGTGAAGAATGTGAGTGAGGGAACTGTTTAAATATGAAGGAGAGATAAGAAGGAAGCAAGAGAGGAATAGCAACATGACACTCAAACAAAAAAGAATGGGAAAGTAATAAGACAGAAAGGAGGGACAGAGATATAAATACAAAAGGAAAAAAATATTTTCCCCATCATCTCTCATAGGTCACGTGCTAGTATAATGGAAGAAAAATGCTAAGCATCATCATGAAGATGATGGCACCATGACAAACAGAATTTGTGCAGCATAATCCAAATGGATCGGGAGACTGAGGAAGACCTTAGTAAAGGACTTATGTGTAAGGCTGACTGCCTATACAATCAAGGGGAGGAGGAGAAATTACTGTCACAATGATAAAAGAATTAGGGGCTATAACAAATTACGAATATTAATACAACCTTTATAAACATAACTAGATGCAGCAAAATAGGATTTTGAAGTCCAAACTAAGAAACTGAACAAGGGTAACAGAAACATCTGGGCACTTTATCAGACTAAAAATAGCAAAATGAGAGGGAAACATGCTTTGTACGCAGTTAACATACATGAGCTGAAGGCCTGTGTCAGTATTTACAAACCTGATAACAAAATGTATCACATCATTTTGGGTAGTTTGAGAGCTGGGTATGATAAGATAACAGACTGCAACTCGAAATTTACATGCAAGACATATAAGCTACGACTTAAAAGTTTCCATGCTACACTGTATTCTTAGGAGACTGCATTCAAGCAAAACAAGAAGTTTTAGGAAAAATTTATGATGTAACAAGTGTTTCGGAAACTTACAGCTTTTGCAGTGATGAACATATTCCAAGGCATCAAAGTCCCAATTCCATGCAGCAATAATGTAAAATATACAAGCAATAACCTGCAAAGATAAATTGAACATTGTGAATTCCTGAGCATGTTTCCCTTGCTGCTCCCCCCCCCCCAATTACTAATTTGCTGGAACAGATTTCTTTAAAATCTGACACTGGAGACCTTCACTCATAGGTGCAATTCTGATTGTCAGCCACACTCACTGATATTAAAGTTTGCTTTAGTTTAGACTATAAACAGACTTTCCATTTATGTCATAAATCATTAATCAGCTTTTACTAATTGGAAACTGTCATCTTATTAAACTGCAAAGAATGCTGCTGGAAATTAAGTACAAGTTACAAAAGTACACCCTTCTCAATCTTGTTCTCAAAAACTCCAGTTATGGAGTGGTCACTGCCCAAAAGAAAAGAATGAAGAAATCCATTTCTGAGGTAAGACTAGCTATAACGCAGAATTCTGTTCACTGCCAGTGACGGGGTGAAGGTAAAGATGGACACAGACCTACATCTCAATGCCAATTCTAATGCATGACATTCCTTACATTCACAAAACTTTTATAAAAAGTGAGGAATACATAAGGGAAGCAGATAAATCAATGTCAGATCCAACTACAACCTCAGACCTCCATATTATTATATGGTTTGTACCTATCCGTTGGCGGATTCATTTCCAAAACTGCCCGTTCCATAGTTACTCCCTTGAAATTGAGCTCATCATTTGGAAGGTTTGTTTCTTCCCATGCCGGAGTCAGTCTCACAGGTTCTGCTGTTGCTCGTTCAAACAGCGGCTGCTTCTCATAGTAGTCTGCATCTGAAGGAAAAGGTGCACAAATAATAAAGACATGTTCTGAATATCTAGCAACAAAACAAATTCACCAAGTTATATTAGAAAAGGTAACATCTCTGTGCTTAATTAATTAATTAAGAACCACACCATGAAGATGTATGGTGGAGTGGAGGCATAGCTCCACCTTTCTTGAACTCTGCACTAGATGAAGGTGAGTGGTCAGCTTCACGCCCAAGACACTTTACCCCTTAGGAGAGAGCCCTGGTACCCAATGACAAGAGGCTGGGTGGGCCCCCAGCCAGTCTGGATGCTGTGGAGTAGAGAACAACCTCTGCCCCTGCTGAGAATTGAACCCTGGCTTTCCATGCTAAAAGCATGTTTAGTAATGAACACCTATTCCCGCTACAAGCTATGGAATCATTTTGTCAAAGCAGTGCATCAGAGATTATTTTAAATTACTTCATCTTAGTGGTAATACGTAAAATCAGATATTTTATGTTCTCGCAGTGGTAACTATGTAAATTATTGTCTTCTGGGATGTACACATTCGGTCTGGTAGGCTGCAACCTTTAGCATTTTTGAGGAATCTGCTGTCTCTATTTTCAGGGTAAAAGAGTAAACTGAGCAAGAAAAAAACAGAATAAATACAGGAAGAGACAGAATGGGACTCTGGCTCTGACCAAACCAACAGGAGAAAGGTGAACAATGAAAATATACTGGGTCTTAAAAATGGCGCTTTTTAAGGCAGGCTGACTGGGGAAATAAAACTCTGAGTGAACCAACAGAAGGTAAAGGGAAGTCAGGAGATACAAAATACAGAAATAGTAGCCCTCTAAAAAGGCCTTTCCAAGGGCACAGTGGATGGAAAAAAGAATGCAGAAATAGTAGCCCTTTAAAAAGGTCTTTCCAGTGGCAAAGTGGATGGAAAAGGGAAAAGAAAACAGTAACAGGACTGATTTAGATGTCAGGGGTAATGGCCTACCAGACTACATGGCATCACATCTCAGAAAATAGTAACCAACAATACCTGATGTACTTCAAAATGCTTTAAATCTGAACTTTGTTTTTTCACATATCCAGAAAGTAACAAACATGGTACTATATTTCTTTTTTAAGATTGTACTAAGCATAGATCAGATCAGAGTAACGTATATCACGACTGTGGACAACAAACTACTTAAATACCAATTCTATTTTAAAAATGACATTTAAAGCTATTCTTCCTTCACCAGACCTTAGCCAAATAAACTCTATACATTGGAGATGAAGCTAAGTCAACATAGCTTTAGCCTTGTCTAAGAAGCACACTTCAAAACATGCTAATCTATTTTGGGCAAGGCATCTGTCTATATTCCAGGCAGCTGTATCATAGCAAGAAATGAAGTCCAGAGATATCTAGGTGGATGTATGAAGACTGTGATATTCCAAGTGACCCAGTAACTTTGTGTTCATAATCTTATCATCCTAAACGGAATTTTCGGCATAAAATAATTCACTAGACAGGAAACTTAGTTTTCCAGTTTCGCAAGAAATTCTTTGGCCTTATAGAATCTGAAATATCATATACAGAAACACAAAAATCTGCTACTCAAAACTACCCTAATCCAGATCATAAATCCATGAGTTATTTCTTTAACATAAATTTTAATATTAACCTTCACTTTATACTTAGGTATTTCAGAGTAATTCTGTACAAATTTCCTGTTTCTCATGCATGCTACATGTTCTTGCAATTGATACTTCTCTATTTTTTCACCTTAATCATACTAAACAAAAGACATAAATTGTGAAGCTACTTATTATACTTTCAATATATATTAGCATAAGAAATAGATGTGATGGAAGAAACATGTTTCACAGTCTTTACAACAAATTTCTCTGAGACACATTTTAATATTATTCTCCCATCCATGGTCTCCTCCTTTGAGCTATTCCAGTAGTAATGTTGTACCAATTTATTTGTTTCCCCTGTCTAGTTCTACAGCCACCTAACCCCAACATGAGGATGATAATAAGGTCCACTGGAGAGCTTTTGTGAATGAGGCGATGAACCCTTAAGTTCCACAAAAGTGGGGAACTGAACCTTGCAGTTTAATCATTAGAGCTCCTGTTTCACATTTTGTGGGTCCTGGGTTCAAATCTCGGCCCACAGACCGACTATACTGACTGACATAATTCGGGCCTTTTCTTAATGCCTTCAAGCAAATGACAGAATACATCAAATTAGGCCACTACTGCTTCCTTCCATGTTGTTTTCAATTCACTATCATCACATGATTCAAAGCTACATAGTGTGAGGTATTGCTTACATCATTAAATAAGCAACAAATATATAACAAAACTGGAAAGGGCATTCTCCATATCATACATAGCATTACCATCTATGAAGCAATTTATGGAATACATGGAAGGCAAATTTATGGTTTCATTTAAACATTTATTCTGGAACAATATGGCTGTAAATTGGATGTCCCTGGCAACTATGGTTAAAGTCACCCATATAAAATTTAAGACAAATAAATCTGTTCACAGATTAGGCACTGATACTAAATCACAGATGGATGGATGGATGGATGAGAACTCCAGTTTGGCAAACTTTTTTTCTGTCTGTAAAGAAATGAACTTTTTGTCAGCTAAGTATACAAGAAAAACGTTGTACCACAAAACTGATCTGCTAGTCAAACATGTTTGTTGGCCTTGCTATGCAGATGCAGTCATTAAAGAGAATGTTTAAAGGATCTTCCTGGAAAGTCTTGATTCTATTTATGCAAGGGCAAAATATAGACATATTTTTTTAAATGTAAAGCCTGTCAAGTGTCTGTTAAAAGCTTTAATAACAGCATATGTTTCCCCAAATGAGGTTACATATCTGAACCTTTATAGCAAAATGATGACTACATAACAACTATTCCACAGCTGTAGCTTGGAGCATTTTTGTTAAGGGGAAACTAACAAGATGATCATGTGATACAGCTTACATCACTGCTGCCAATGGACTCACAACTAAGAGCAGTAGTGACAAAAGATAATAATTCATGATTCTAGGGCAATTAACCCATCAATTGCACATCTCCAGAGTATTTCTTGAAAAGACAACAGTTACTCAGTTGGCTTTCATAGAACCCAAAGTTTTGTTACCATGTTCTTAAAATCCTATCACTGGATCCTATCCTCGGCCAAATTAATTCAGTCCATACCTTCAAAACTTATTTCTTTAATATACACTTTAATATTATCCTCTCAAAAGATCTCCTTCCTTCACATTTCCCGACTAAAATTCTGTGTGTATTTCTCAACTCTGCCACATGTGCTACATGCCCTAACCATGTTGAATTAATCATCCAAATGGTGTGAGATCAAGTTCCACGCCCATTAAAAAAAAGATAAAAATATTGTTTCATATCATTCCAATATATGTCAAACATTTAGCTCTTGTGCGGTAGTGGTACATAATACTGTAATATTCTGGTGCTAACATTAACAAAAATTATCTTACTTAATGCTATGATGATATGAGGATTGGAGGTATAGCTCCACACACTCTTTAACATCGGTATTATATGGCCAGCTTCACACTCTGGCCCCTTAACCTCCCTAGAAAGACTGTCCAGTACCAATTAAGAGACTATCTATGCCTCTGCCAGGAATTAAACCTGGGTCATCCAGCCCAATGCCAGTCATGGTAATGATACGCTATTATGGCTCCCATATCTCTGACACTTGACTGAATAAAGCGATGCAGTCTGACTTATGTGAACCTTCAGCTAAGAGCTCTTCTGTTAACTATAACAATGAATCAGAGGTCATGGAGTGTCACATCACTAAATGATCCAACTGAGCAAATTGGAATCATTAGGTTTTTGTAGCAGCGTCCACATGAAGATGTTTTTCACATGCAGCCAGCTAGCATGCAGAAACACATCACTTCATTTCTATTCCCGTTATTATAGCATACTCTCATCTCCTTCTTGCATGCAGTGCTTAAAATGAACACATCTGTATATCTGCACACACAATTTAGCTTTGTAACTACTCAATGGATTTACACTAAATGCTGCTGGATAAATTTACTTTTGGTTAACAATACTGAGAAAATCAATTCAAATAAGTAGTACATGATATGAAATACAGATCACATTAACATCCAAAACTTTTACACAAACACTTTCTGATGTAATGTCTCTATAATTAAATATAAGGAAGAACAATTTTATGCCTCAATACCTTCTCTCTCTTCTCTTCAATGCATAGGCATGATGTTCCAACTTCACACAATAATTCCCTCTTTTCCAAGGCCTTCCTCAGTCTCGCCATTTCTCTGTTTACATTGTAGAATATGTTTCAGTATTTCTTTATCAGACTTTCTATCCAGACAGTTTATCCAGTTCTGTCTCCATCTATTTTATTTTGTACTGTTTCCACTTTCAGTTCTTCCTTAATGTCTTCATTCTTCACAACGTAGTGCAGTGGAGTCCTCAACTGTTCTTAAATACCTCAGGTCTACTGACTCTATTCAATTTATGTCTATTGCTTTAATTGCCCAAAATTCAATTCCATATTGTGAATTTGGAAGTGCTGCAGTTATATATATAGTAAAATTTCATTTTTTTTTTCTTTTAAGTCTTTAATGTTCTTCTGACGGTATGCATGTTCATGCTTATTGTCACTCCAGTCCTTGTCTAATGTACACATTACATCACTTCCTACATAACTGAAGTGAGACATCTGTTCCCAAATACTTTTAGCCTACTTTCCTTATTATGAAAAAATAAGAGCATGCTTATGAAATCACCATGCTGTGTGTCTGTGAATCTCCCCTATTAACTTCCGAATCCCTGAACCATCTATATAAAACTTGGTATGTATATCATGGCACCCGATCCCATCTCAATAGCACACTTCATAAATCCCTCCTACCAGTCTGTGTTTGTAAGTGTATTACCCAATCATCAGCAACGGCTTGGTAAACACGTTACTGCAGCAATCAATGCACACACAACAACAGAAGAATTGTTAGATACGCCATTTTCTATGCAGTCTGTGCCATATCTAAGTAAAGTAGGTGATTAGTTCTTCCCAGAAATTCTTCTTATTGCTAATTATTATAGCTGTAATGGAAACTTGCCTTATCTAAATAAAATACAATAAATTCCTATCAATAATAAATGAACACCAAGCTCAATGTGATTGGAAATTGAGAGAAATACATTTGGATAAAATCGTTAATAATAGCCGAAATTCACCTTCCGAATCATCTAATTTTGTTGCCTTATTTTTAACCGTCACCACAGACCAACATATATAACTAGTTCACTGATAGGGTCCTCCTCATTTTTAAATGTCCTCCATCCCGATAAATAAGTAAGGTATAAATCCCCCACAGTACAAAGAAGTTAAATGCACAACATTAAATCTTCCAGCAGCAGTACACAGTCATTCAGACAATAAAGAATGTTTGGAACCTGAGCATTCACTGCACTCTTCACCAGTGGTCAAAACATACAGTTCAATCACCATGGCAACCAAAAAATTATGGCTGGCAACTAATTTCACATTCAGTTGGCTTTTGGAATTCTGGTAATCCTGCTCACTCACTAGAGGCACTGAGTAAATGGCAAACCACACAAGTCATGATCACATACCGAGCAAGTCATAGCAGCTCTCTTTAAAAGTCAATTTTAGCTGTAATCTTATGCGTTTAGGATAAACAGTAGAACAAGGACAAATAAATCCTAGAAGCAACAGCCAGAGAAAGTCACCATAAAATATTAATACACTTTTCATGAGTGACCAAAATATTTGTTGGGCTACCAGACTTCAAAATTTCTTTTTCCCTGGACTTCACAGAAGCATTCCACTGGACACTACTCCAATTAAGTAAGATTTGAGGTTTTCACAGCGGTGACTATGAAGAAAGCAGTCTTCTGGGATGTGGCACCGTGTAGATGTGGTGCCATATCCCAGAAGACTGCTTTCTTCATACTCCAATTAAGTTCAGCACAGTTTATATTTTCATGCTTTCTTTAAGAACAATCACAATATTGTTCTGTGATCTAACCCTATGTCTCCCAAGTGGTCTCTCTTTCCCTTGGATTTTCCCATCGCTTATCATTAGGTTCAATGGTATTGAGTGTACTCACCAACTGCTTAAGGAAGACCATGTATCAATCAGGTAATTAAAACCTGAACTCTAAAGATTCACAAAGGTTTACAAAAAGAAGTACAAAAATATATTAATATAAACAAAAAAAAAATCATTCAAACATAAGTGATTCAAACTATATTTAATTGCTAAAATCCTGGGTCAACTGTGAACATGAATTAAAAATGATAGTATCAATTATTCATCATATTTGTGTTAATACTGGTACCTCACACAGGAAGTGGATAACTTCAACAAAAAACATAAAATTTGGCATCCGAATAGTCAGTTCATTGACTTATTCTTAAATTATTTAATGACATGTTTCAACTGCAAAGATTATACAGTGCTGAAATGACCTAAAACATTATGACTGTAATTTTTCAGGGCATTCTTGGTGAGTTATATGTTAAAATAACCTTAAATATAAATGGTACAATAACAAGATCATGTATTGTGGAAAAATGCTGAGTTTGATGATGAAACTGTGTAATTCCACTGCATAAATAATGACAAGTCGACAAGCAGCAGTCGCTCGGTTGGTATAGTTCGCTTGTGGACTAAAATCATGGAGTGTGTTTGTAGAAGAAAATGCATAAAGGGTGACTGGATCCACGAGGATGAATATGAACTGAGACATATGATCAAGAAAAGTTAATTCATTTCATGCTAATGTGCAGTTCGGTGCATACTTTTCATAAAGTGGCATCTACTAAAACATAACAAATCCAAAATTCTTCAGGTCTTCAAGACATGCCAGGGAACAAGCAGTAAAACAGTAATGGAATTCTTAATAATCATGCCTTACTTTTTCTGGTCCCTCTTGGTGTTGACCCATTTCTTGGTGCTGAGTCCTTCAGAAGGAACTGATTTTCTGCACTTGGTGGTCTTTTAGTTGCAGTACTACTGAAACTGGTGTTCTGACTCATTCTGGTAACCAACTGCAACCAATATTTTTTATTGTGTGAGACAAAAATTGTACAACTTTTTAAAAGAAGCAATGAAAGCACTCACCATTAATGAGATGTATTCTTGAGTTTGTTTTGATCATTGTGGGAACATGTTTAATGGCCGTTGCCTATCACTGAACAAATTTTTTAACCTATTCCAGCTTTCTGTCGTCATGTGGCAAAACATTTAGCTAGACATAAGTTTGTTATTCTTTCACAACTGATATCGCTATATGATGGATCAAGTGAAAACAAGTTCACCTTAAAGTAAAATTTAACTGTAAACACTTTCAGATCCGAGTATGACTACCGTAGCTGAAAAGCTAAATGAAAACCACACCAAAATATAAAAAGAGTGCATCTGATAAACAAATGGAAATATAATGGATAAATCGTATAATACGTTCATCACAAGAAAATGTGGGGGATAAAGGCATAACTAGAAATTTGATTATATTAATCACTGTATCTGAGTAACATCGTGGAAAATTTGATTTTTTATACTTGTTTCATGATCACATACTTTCATTATGATGCTGCTTATTAGTGCATAATAAAATAAATCATTCCTTTAAAATATTAAAATATTTGTAAATATTTTGTACACTTAACCCTCGCGGTCCCTCTTTCACCACCTCTCCGAATATCATCCGGTCCGATCCGGTCACAAGAACCGAAATGGTTAATTAATTTCTCTTCCTATCTGTGTAACAGACACGACGAAAAACTGGAAGTGAATTATTTGTGAATGAGCTATTTATAAAATTTCCTTACCCGTCCCGATAATGTTCATAAATCACTTTAAAACAATACACACTCTCTTCAAGTAGCAGAGTTTGCACTTCTTACATGACACGTGAGTTCATCAAGCGAATATTACATACGTACACAACTCAACCACATCAACCTTTCAATCATTTTCCGCCATTTCCAAATATCTCGCGAGAGCAGCGCCCAAAGCGAACAAAGCGAATGACTATTATGTTTAAACATTCCAGCGCGAAAGTGTAAATTGTTTGTTGTGGAAAATCGGAAGTCGTGTTATTCATGCCAGCCATAGCTTTACTGTCATTTTGTCGTGTTCATTTAGAGCGTGGAATCAGCTGGAATTATTTGAGCATAATTTTGTGCAGATTAGTTATATAAAAATAAGCCGACCTCGTCGAAACAGAATTTGATGTTGAAAATGGCATCTTTTTTCAGTCAGATTGACGAACTTCAAAATCATTTCAAAACTCATAATAAGACACGTGAATATCAAGCTCACTCGTCGAAGGTCCATTCAGTTGGATGGAGCTGTGACGGTCGGAGACTGGCCTCAGGATCTTTTGATAAGTCCGTTACTATCTTCACTTTGGAACGGGATCGATTGGTATGAGCAACCCTAACCTCTTTTGTATTGTTGACCATAATATTCTTTAATCTAGAGACCCTTGCCCTTACTGTAAGGGGGGCGGAGCGTAAAGTTAATCATTCACTTCCATTTAGTGACAAACTTCATGAATGCATGGAACAATACCTCCATACATCTGAATGGTGAAGTGCTTAATTAAAGTTAGGAACACTCATTATTCAATTCAATTCATTTCAAATTGAAGTAGATCCAGATACAGGGTGAAGCGACTTATTTGTCATACAAAAAGGAAAAAAAAAAGAATATCAGCTTGACTGAGAAGAATGTTAAAACCAGACTTGAAGACCATAATGTGTATTTGTACCAACCGTCTTATAGTGCACACAATTTCACCTTTCTCTTCACTACATGTTTCGGCACTAATGTGCCATCTTCAGGTGTGGTTTCATTAACGTCAAACCATTGCACTGTATGCCATCATGTCTCCTTTATAAAATGATTAAAATGTATGTATGTCATGTATAATAATGAAGTTTATATATTAAAACTTTTCAAGATTTATCATCTATACGTCGCACTTCAAACTCGCGAGTTACGTCAGTCCTCTCCTATGGGAGTACTCTTCCTGTATTCTTGTGTCCTTCCCTTGTGACTGCGTGCGTTGTATTGCTGGATTGCACGCAGTCACAAGGGAAGGACACAATATACACAAGAATATAGGAAGAGTACTCCCATAGGAGAGGATTGACGTAACTCGCAAATTTGAAGTGCGACGTATAGATGATAAATCTTGAAAAGTTTTAATATATAAACTTCATTATTATACATGACATATATACATTTTAATCATTTTATAAAGGAGACATGATGGCATACAGTGCAATGGTTTGACGTAAATGAAACCACACCTGAAGATGGCACATTAGTGCCAAAACATGTAGTGAAGAGAAAGGTGAAATTGTGTGCACTGTAAGATGGTTGGTACAAATAGACATCATGGACGTGAATCAGTGCAACAGGACGCTAAAATATAACATTGACAAACTTGAGTTTTCTGTTTTGAAATGTCATATCATAATGTCTTGGAGTCCATAAATAACATTGTAGCACCTCATTTGTTAATTATTTTTTAAGTAAATTGCTAAATTGGAAGTTCTCACCCACATATCTCTACACATGCAGAATATTGTGACAACTAAGGTTAGGATCTGTGTTTTGTTTACCAACCTCAAAATATTGTGTGCCAATGTTAAGAGTCTAGTGGGTTTGTGCAGTGTGAGGTCATTTCTAGGTTGAGAAAGTGACTCCCACCCAGAATGACAATTTTTCCTATGTCCATGTGGCCTAAATATGTTAACTTCAAATGTCATTGTATCTCATAACTTTTAGAAGTGGCTGCAAGGTGGGAATAAAATTAATGATGATCTGGATGCATATACCAGTCTCATAGTCATAAGAGGTGTAAGAATATGTAAACCATCCAGTACCATGATATTTTAAATATTAATGAGTTGAATGTGTATAACATTATTTTGTAGAACAAGGAATTCACCTTCCGTGGACATGGTGGCAGTGTTGACCAGCTGTGTTGGCATGCTTCAAATTCTGACTTGTTGAGCACAGCAAGTGGTGACAAGAGTGTTAGAATTTGGGATGCACGATCACAGAAATGTGCAGCTCATATTATTACTAAAGGTAAAGCATTGAGTGAAAACATTGTAATTCTATAGGTGAAAAGTTTTGTAAATCTTCCCAGCATAAGGACAGAACATATTAAAGCCACAGCCACAAATAGATAAATATAGTAAAAGTGAAATTTATCAAATGAAATGCCTAGATTTCCCATTAAAGTATGTCGGACAAACAGGAAGAACATTTAAGACCAGATATAAAGAACACATTCATGACATAAGAAGCAACAATAGTAACTCCGGATATTCAAGTCGCATATTGAACACCAGACACACATTCGACAAAATAAAAGATACCATGGAAATTATAACAACAGGGAGGAAAGGTAAATATTTGAACACACTTGAGATATATCATATTTACAAAACCAGTAAAGAAAATCTACATATTAATGACACTAATATCGACACACACGATCCTATATTTGAAGTATTATACAAAAATTATGTACAACATAACACTAAACCCTCCCCCACCTTTCCCCACTCCTCACAACCAGGGCATATAAATACAGGAACAAACACACCGCATCCACACTAGTGAAGACAACACCACATGCTGCTAGAGGATACACGCAAAGAAGGGGCATGTGAGTATAAAACAAGCCAACATAACACAACATTAATAATAACAATCAGAAAACAATAACAACATGTGACATTTTGTACAGTATGCACCAAAATATAGAGTACTGAAATGAAAAGATGTCCTGTTGATACCACTGTCTATTCATGTGAAGGCCCCTTGCACAACAGAATCTTCTCAAATCCTGAAGAAATGGTCCAATCACCATGTCCCTATAGTGTTTTTGGGTGACATTAAGAGCATTGCCTTCCTCATCCTCAATGAAATAGGGACCTGATATACCGTGTGCTGAGACGGCACACCATATCGTCACATGTGTATTATGTAGCGGTTTCTGGACGATAACATATGGCCACTCAAAGCCAAGGAAGCAATTGTCTGGCAACCACTTCCATATGAGCGGAAATAATACTCAACTATGAATACTTTTTCCTCCATCGAGAGACCCATTTCCAGCAACTGCACTTCCTTTTCACTACTGGGAACACACGTGGCTGGAGCTATGCCCCGTCGACAAATGTACATGTGTGTTTGAGATGTGCGAGTTTCAGTACTCCGTCTTTTGGCACATACTGTAGATTACAGACAGCAGACATGGCAAAACAACGGGCTAACAAATGGAAGAGCAAGCTGCAGAAACGAACCTTTTGGAATATCACATAGCTCCAAAGAAGTGGACGACGCCTCTTAAGTAAAGTAAAGTAAGTAAAACTATCCCCGTACCAGGCCGTGAAGGCCCATAGGGTTGTGAGACGTTGAGGGTCCCACATTGTCTAGACAGTCGGCTCAAAGATGGCGGTAAGGTTGTCAGCCCTACGCACCAGCCCCGCTTTACTCCTCAGGAAAATTATTTATTTAATTCCTGGTACTCATTTCTGTTAGAGGCTGAGTAAACCCCATGGCCTAGAACGGCTGGAAGGATTAGGTCAACTGAAAAAATCCAATGACCTCATCGGGACTTGAACCCGCGACCTTCCGGCTTGTAGACGACGCCTCTTACGAGGTGGAAAAGGATTTTATGGAAGAAAATGTTAATAGAAATTTAAATGGATTTTGATTAATTATTTGCGTTATTTTTAAGTGGATTGCAACGTGCGGTTTTAGCGCAAAATAGAGCAGTGTAACAGTTTGCACGCATTAAGACACCTGAAGATGGCCATCTATGGCCGAAACATGTTGTGTTAAGTGTTAAATGGTGAATAAACAGTTGTTGCATTATTGACAGACTGCGGATACATAATTGTTTAATGAAAAGTTTGTATTGTTTACCTTATTGTTCTTACGTATTGTGACGTGCAATGTGACGTCCATCGCTGCGAAACGACCGCAACGGGAATGCATACTTCAGCGACAACGAATACACGGAAATTGTTGAGTTCCCACAACGCCGAATTGAATACCAACATGCCGTTGTTTAGGAATATCCGTAACAACGGATTGTTCGTTGCATAACAACGGATGAAACCCAACACTTATAAGGGTGTTCTGTATTGAGTAAGGCAAGCATTTCCTAAGCAACGGATGAAATTAACCCTTCAATAAGGTATTCCCTATTCCGTCCGAACGCTTGGTATATGCTAGGGGCGTTCAAAATTGATTGACAAGGGAGGAGATTTGAGACTTCCATTTTCGTCGCCTCCTACGACTCGCAGGGTCGCGAGTCTCAAGGGACTCGGACCCGAGAAATACTGCGCTGGCAAGGGACAGCAGCTTATATAGAAGACAGACCCGTCCTCTCGTCAGAGAGGGCGCCCTACTAAAGCAAGACCGTAAATGTCAAATAGTAATAAATATCTGGTCATGAGCCCAAGATGGAGCTCGACACCAGGACTTACTGACTGACTGACTGACCGTCAGTCGCAATGTGACTTGGACTTGATTGACAAGAGTTTTTTATTATTACCGCAAGAGTTCAGTTGGAAAAATTAAATATCTGGTCGTGGTCCTCAAGCGGCCTGATGCCAAGACGAACTGATTGGCGGTAAACCGCCAGCCGTGAAGTAACTCTGATTCTGACTGATTGACACTAAATGTTTTTTTCTTCACAGTAACCATTTATTGGAACAAAATACATACAGATTATATTAGAGGTATTCCCCGCCAGTGTCTATGCACCTTTGCCATCATTCCGGCAGTTTCCGTATTTGCATAGCAAACCATTCTTTCGGGGTATCCCGGCGCCACAGATGAACAACTGCCCGAAGCTCGTCGTTGGAGGTGAACGTCTTACCCCGCATGACGTCTTTCATTGCATCGAATAGAGATTAATCGCTAGGGGCAAGATCGGGCGTGTATGGCGGATGAGGCAGCACGGTGTACCCTAGAGTACACAGGGTGGAAATGGTCTGCCGACTGCCATGTGGCCGAGCACTGTCGTGTTGGAGAAGAACGCCCCGCTCCCATTTTTCGTGGCGGCGTTGCTGAATGCGTCGGCGGAGTTGACGCAGTGAATTGCGGTACCGATCACTGTCGATGGTCGTATTCGGGGGCAGCCAATCCAACAGAAGGATCCCCTCCTGATCCCAGAACACAGTCGCCATTTGCTTCCGGAACAATAGTCCCGGTCGTGACTTCTTGCGAGGAGGGCTCCCAGCGTGCTTCCACTCCATGGACTGGCGTTTCTTTTCTTGAGTGTCATGCCAGAACCATAACTCGTCGACGGTGACTCCAGAGAAACCACAGTCCACCGTTGCCCGTGATTGTCTGTTTCCATGTTGTCTGAGCGTTGTCCACGACTGCACCTGCACACCGCCACGAATGACGCAACACTATTCGACCTGTGCGCAGTAGCAACGTCATCTCGTGGAATATGCGGCACTATAGTATGTCCTCCCATATACACCGGCTCGCATTTGACACTATTACTTTTCTGAAGTTATGGAGGGAGTGTCAATCATTTTTGAACGACCCTCCGTCCATAACTCTGGAAAAGTAGCAGTGTCAAATGCGAGCCGGTGTATGTGGGAAGACATACTATAGTGCCGCCTATTCCACGAGATGACATTGCTACTGCGCACAGGTTGAATAGTGCTGCACCATTCGTGGCAGTGTGCAGGTGCAGTCGTGGACAACGCTCACACAACATGGAAGCAGACAATCGCGGGCAACCGTGGACTGTGTGGTTTCTCTGGAGCCACCGGCGACGAGTCATGGTTCTGGCATGAGACTCCTGAAGTGAAACGCCAGTCCATGGAGTGGAAGCACCTCCCAAGAAGTCACAACTGGGACTATTCATCCGGAAGCAAATGGCGACTGTATTCTGGGATCAGGAGGGGATCCTTCTGTTGGATTGGCTGCCCCCCAATACGACCATCGACAGTGATCGGTACTGCAATTCACTATGCCAACTCCGACACAGAAAATGGGGGCGCGGCGTCACGACTGGGACTATTCATCTGGAAGCAAATGGCGACTGTATTCTGGGATCAGGAGGGGATCCTTCTGTTGGATTGGCTGCCCCCCAATATGACCATCGACAGTGATCGGTACTGCAATTCACTTCGCCAACTCCGACACAGAAAATGGGGGCGCGGCGTTCTTCTCAAACATGACAATGCTCGACCACATGTTAGTCGGCAGACCATTGTCACCCTGGGTGCTCTAGGGTACACCGTGCTGCCTCATCTGCCATACTCGAAACACTGAAACTGCTGGCATGATGGCAAAGGTGCATAGACATTGGCGGGGAATACCTCTAATATAATCTGTATGAATTTTGGTCCAATAAATGGTTACTGTGAAGAAAAAACATTTAGTGTCAATCATTATTTAACGCCCCTAGTAAGAGTATAGCTCCAGTGAGAGTTGTAATGTGACGCTGGCTTTGAGGGTTAAGTGGCCCATGTGGAGGCAGGTTTGAATACCTCCACCATGACCCTTCGAGTCGTAGGAGGCGATGAAAAGGGAAGTCTCAAATTTGAGATAGTAATATATGGTCTCGAGTACAAAGGGACTTGGACCCAAGAAAGACTGTGCTGGCGAGGACCAGCAGCAGTCTCTTTTGTCAGAGGGCGCCCATGAAAACAAGACCATAACTGTCAATCAGTAATAAATATCTGGTCGCAAGCCCCAGATGGGTACTTTATGCCAAGACAGACGGGCCAACTGACCGTCAGTCGTAAAATGAGACTCAGGCTCAGTTAAGATCACCAGTATTACAAGAGAACCCAAGTGAAATCACATTTTGTAAATCACAGTAGAGATTCTGAGTTTTGTACTCACAGTTTTGGATTTGACTCTAGCAAGATAGAAGCAGGTTGTGCTCAGACTTCGCAGAAGAGTTCCAGAGTGTACTAGCAGTGTAATAGCGCTTTAAGTGAATAATTGTATGAGTGTGTGTACAAATAAGCGTCCAATAAAAGAATTCATTCCAATCCGAAGACCCACACAATTTATTCTTGTCACGTCACACAGCCAACATGTTACAGTATCTTTATAATACCACAGGAACAACTTTTCATTAAGCAACTATAAAATTGAAAAGTTTGTATCATTTACCTTATTGGTCATATGTATTTTTCATTACAAAAACTACACAAGGTACTGCTACTAAGGTACACAAATAAATATTGTAGCATGTTGCTATGCAAAGACCACAAGATAGGCAGATATACCAGGCCATTTCTTGGCAACAGCTTGATAAACATGTTCCTGCAGCAACAGACATGAACACAACCATAGAAGAACTGTTTACTTTGTGGTCTGTAATGAGATGTTATAAGCAAGGGACGAGGTTACAGCTTAGTCAATTTGTATGGGAGTCTTTGAAGAGAAAACTTGAGCGCACAAAGTTGAAGAATCTCCACTGTTAGAAGTTGTTGCCGGGAAATGGCTGGCAAAGACATAGCAGGCTGCAAAATTCTTAACAGGTGCTGTGGTGATTTGTGAATTGTGTAAATCAGTGGTGGCACTGCAACTACTTGTAGTTCTGAGTCATGTGTATAAGTGGTCAATAAATCCATTCACCAATTCAAACCCCATCTGTAGTTACCCCTACACATGACAGTATTGTGGATTCTTTCTACATGTGAAGAGATAAGCTATTTTGAAAACATTTTCTGCCAGTTCATTAATTTCCCAGCAATTGGCAGAAATGAGCCAGTAGATATCAGTAAAGTGACTGGCTGCAGGCCAAATGCCTGAGGTTCAATTGATGACAGGGTTAGAAATTTTTCTCATCACTACAGTATCCTGGTTAGCTCTGAGGCCCACCCTATCTCTTATTTGATGGGTGCCAGCAGTAAAAGGGCTGGGAACTGAAGGTGACCACTCATCTCTGTACAGTGTTGACATTAAGAGCACAAAAATCTCACCTTCACCTCTGTCTGTTTTGATGTCAAGCTTAAACTTTATCATCTGTGCATCACACTGTTGGGACACAGCATGTGTTGATCCATTAGGCCTAGCACTGCATTGTCTTTAGTATAAATACCATACCTTCCTTGTTAATATCTGGCCCCTAGCACTGTAGCAGTGGGATATCCAAGTCCCATTCCTAGACAAAGATTATGCACAAAGACAGTCCTTATCATAAATGTTTCTTCCCTAGGAGAAAATATTAACATAACATGGTCTCCTGATGGCAACACAATAGCAGTTGGAAATAAAGAGGATCTTGTCACCTTCATTGATACTCGGACACACAAAATCAAGGCTGAAGAACAATTCAACTTTGAAGTGAATGAAATTTCATGGAACAAACAAAGTAACTTCTTCTTCCTCACAAACGGACAAGGTTGCATCCATATTTTAAGGTACAGCATATACTTTTACCAATGTTAAACTCTTTCTCTGACTTTAGTATGAAGAATACCAATCAGCTCCACCAGCCATCCCATGCCTGTTACATAACTTTGCATTATTCTTAGTTTACTTAGCAGTGCAATCAGCAGTTCCTTCCTTGTTTTTCAACCATAATCTTTTATAAATTTGAATCCATTTCTCATTTTCCCACCTTTGTGTTATATCTCATCCACACTGATGTAATCACACTAAACACTATTATGTGAGTAGTACAAATTGTGAAGTAACTTGTCGTGTTTTTTCCAGCACCTTGTATTTTTGAGTTTCTTAATCCCAACTGTTCTTCCCAGGACTTATGCAAAGTACAGGTTATGTGAAGCCCATATAAATGAAATTAAGTTTGCCAGAAAACTTTCTAGTGTTGACCACGCAGTACCAAATTTCATCAAAATCCATTCCTTTCAAGGATGGAGATATGGACAGAACAATGAGAATCACTGTGTTAAAGTGAAAGTGTTGTGAGTGCTTTATTTGTTCGTATTTTCAGCTACCCTGACCTGGAATTGCAGCATATTCTTAAAGCACATCCTGGAACCTGTATATGCATTGAATTTGATCCTACTGGTCGCTACTTTGCCACAGGCTCAGCTGATGCCCTAGTCTCCTTGTGGGATGTTGACGAGCTGGCTTGCTTACGTACTTTCTCCAGGTAAGTAGGCATGTTACATTGAGGCATGTATATGAGTTATTCAAATGAAACCCATCTGGGGATGGTTCTGGATGAAGGAATGCGAAAAATATTCCCCATGGACACTGAAGCAGGATTCTCACAGATGCATCCCTTCCACAAAGAACTCCCTTGGTGCTGATGGAACCACTGCAGCCTGGGCATTTTCTTCCAGCCCATATCTACAGCCCTTAGCACTTTGAGGCCAAACACACGTTTCATTTAAATAATATATATAAAAATTAAATAGTATATATTAAAAATAATAACAGATTGTCAGTTAAAGGGATTGGCCATACCAGCCCTTACACTATGAGTGTCTTTATTCTACTTGTATGCCTCCAGTACTTAAAATATGCATTTCCTTCAGAAGTTCAATTCATACTCAGATAAATTTTTAGGCCATAAACTTTTAAAGTTTTGCTATGTTTTATGCAGATTGGATTGGCCTGTTCGCACTATTAGCTTCAGCCATGATGGACGTCTATTGGCATCAGCGTCAGAAGATCTAGTGATCGATGTTGGAGAGGTGGAAACTGGAGAAAAGGTTGTTGACATTCCAGTAGAGGCTGCCACATTCACAGTAGCCTGGCATCCCAGTCAGTATCTTCTAGCTTATGCCTGTGATGATAAAGACACTTACGATCGCAAAAGGGATGCGGGGAGCCTCAAGGTGTATGGCTTTCCTTCTGAGTAAATGCACAATTAAAGTGGATAACCATGATTTTAAACGAGAGTTTTATATATTTATATTTGAAGACAGTGCAATGTATTATATATCAGATTCTTACATTAATGATGTCAATGTGGCCAGTGTTGTGAGATCATTTTACATCATTCGACAATGTCCACACGGGTTTTCCATCCTAGTTACTGCACACAGTACAAGATGGAAAAAGTTATGATTGCATCGATTACACTGACTCTTCATTGTATAACATTCAATTAAATTTTATCATTACTGTATTTGTAAAATTAGTACATCTTTCTTGGTATGTGTAATGAATTACCAGCAAAACTAGACTGACCATATACAACAGAGCACATGGACTGGGCCAAAACAATGAACCCTTTATGAGAAGTTTTTCAGTGCCAAAATCTTTTGTTCATTGCAAACAGAAGTGCATAAATGCCACTGTTGGTGTCAGTCCTCCATAACCGACCTGTCCGTTCTTCTGTACTGCTACACAGAACTACTCTTTGGTGCTAAGAGGTGAAGAGCTATACCAGCAGTGGTGGGAAACATAAATGTTTAATTTCTGAATCACTGACACTACTACTGGTATAGCTTCCCACCCCATGGTTGGAAAGGGATTCATTTATATCAAAATATAAAGAAAAGGCAACCACAAGCTTTATTCAATAGAGAAATAGCATCGCTGTAAATCTAATGGACACATCAAGCCCATGTTTCGCTTTGGAAATGGGCAGTATTTTCTAGATTTTGCATGAAGTGTTGAGCTTCATCATGCAATAGTTTCCCAACACCGCAGAATACATCCTTGACAAAAGCCTCCTTCACTGCTGCAGGCATATTGTTTGAGCTTCCAGCAAGAAATACCCAAGCTTCAGATGATAGCAAATCCCACAGTAGAGCAGCCTGCTCCTTTATAAGGTGCTGCACGTAACTAAAAATGATCACAAAAGAATTTTGACAATACCCACCTAGAGGGAAAGCCAGAATGAGCTGGTGGGAAGATATAACAAATGATTTATTGAGCTGAAATTAAAAACATGGAGATAAAAGGCATATAATATAGAGAATAAGTAAGGAAATTAAAAAGTACAAATACAGGGATGTCATGATATTCATAATTCATTTCATGAAAATCTGTCAGTTAAAACATTATTAGGGAAGAAGAGACGCATTATCTCATCATGCAAACTGAGCATCTGCTAAGGGGAAGGCATGCGCAACAATGGGCTGGCATAGGAAGGAGAATAACAAGACAGTTCAGCTATTAATCATTTGTCACACAATTAAGAATCTGAAAGGCTGGAGAAGAGTGAGCAGTTCCCACTTTCCTGCATTCCACAAGTCTGACAAATGGTACTTGATATAAAAAGCCTATCTTTCCTTCCAAAATAAGGAAAGTTTGCTAAAAGTTGTATGACCTAAACCACACCATTGATAGTCATGACAGCATAAAAGACTATTGTAGTACATGCAAATGACATCCTGTTAGGCAAGAAAATGGAAGGAATGGAAAATAAAACCCATAAATTGCATAAGAGTTTAGAAATGTCAAATTTAAAAACAATGTGAATCAAGGTGTAATTATAAATGGCTGAGAACATGCAAAAATGCTATAAGTATGTGAGATTTGAAGTTCTTATGGCAGTCATTATGAAGATAACTGTCATCTGGGATGTAATGCTGCGTAGTCTGGTAATGTATACAGACATTCAGCATCACATCCCAGAAATAAAACATACTTTGAAAATAGTTTACATTTCTTATCATATTGTCACATGTTGGGTGTATAACGCGACAAATAACTTCACGCTGTATTCGATATAGCGAATTTTATTTCACACTCGCTCTTACAATCACAACACAATTCACAATTTCACAACTACTGCCATCTGCAGTATTACAATTACTTGGCCTGCAAATGTTAAGACTACAACTGACTGGTTGACTGTTCCAACTCAACTGTCTCTGGCGACGGCTACATTTCAACTCGACTCAACTCAACTCAGCTGTCTTCGGCGGCTGCTACACTTTAACTGCTCACTGCTGACTGACTGCTGCTATACATTTCAACTCGACTCAACTCAATTCAACTGTCTTCGGCGGCTGCTACACTTTAACTGCTCACTGCTGACTAACTGACTGCTGCTATGTTCCAACTGTCTTCATAGGCAGTGTAGTTCTCTTATAAACCCTCAGCTGGACAACGAGAAAACGCCTTGCTTCCTTGTTGCCTAGTCGCCTGTTTAATGATGTTGTTGGGCAGCACTGCCAGGAGTTGTTTACGGCTACGTAGCAACTGCGGCGTCCCGTGTTACGTCACCGTGGGGAAAGGGGTGTCTACCGAGCGTTGCGCGCTGATGGACGGAGTGTTGACTTGCCTGTTACTGCAGTAACAACAGCGCTCCGATGCCGCCACGTCAGCGCTGGGGAGGGAGGGGGTGTCCTCCATAGCGCAACACGTCACACTGCTCCCTCCTTAAGGCTGTTTGTCCCAAATAGCCTAACGGTGCACCCCTGTTCCTTTTCTTCCAAAAATGTGCTTGCTGCCTCTCCTGTTGTTTCAACTACTCCTTGTAGCAACTATTCTCTGGCCGTTACGTCCGCTCCCCTCTTAAGACCAGCTCATCTTGAGCGGTTTCCTTTCAACTTGCCAGAAGATCCAGTTGTGTCATATTCATCCATCGCACATTCACTCTTTCTCGGGAAGCCGGTACTTCTACGTTACTGGTTCCTCCTGTGTACTATTCCATTTTTTTCCATTTCGGAGGGGGTCAACCCCTCCACAACGTCCAATCTTTGCCTTGTTGTAATCGGACAGAAGATCCGACTATTTGCTTCGCGATCTTCATGCCGACAATCTCGTAGAAAGTCTTCTTTCGAGTACTTCTCCCTCCTAGGTGTGATCGCTGTCCTGATCTACACCCTCCGATGGCGTTCTTGGTTGGGTCCTTCCATTGGTTGCTGACTCGTAGTTCCTGTTTCAGACCTCTGTCCCTTATGCCAGTGTTGCATGCAGGGTACTTCCAACATCGTTCAGCATTAACCCTGATTGACTATTTCTTTTCAAAATTTCCCTTGCGCCGTGTCACACCTGCATGGCTAGTCATATTTCTGTCGGCAGCCAATTCGTGCCGTGGTCCACACTTTACTTTGGTCGAAGATTTCTTGAAGGTGTTACTCTTGCGCCATGCCACTGTTGCATGGCGGGACACCTTCCTGCAGGCAGCAGCCAACTTCATCCGGGATCCACAAATTCCTTGGGTTGGTTCTAGTGGCTCTCCACGTCGCGCTGCAGCTTGCTTCTTGCCCTTATACCGCTTCTTCTGTCCTTTAACCGGTTTCACTACGGCTTTTTCATTGGGGACTTCTTGTTGTTGGGCCACCTCAGGTTTCCTGTCCACTGAGGTCAGCTCTTTTTCTTCTAGACGTGCCTCCATCTCTTGGCAGGCCATCGTCTCTTTTCTGGTATCCGTTGTTTCTTCTTCAGGTTATACAACCGCTATCACTGTAGGGACCTCTTGTTGTGTCGCCGCAGGTTTCATGTCCACTGAGGCCGGCTTTTCTTCTTTCGCATCACTAGATCCTCTTCTTCGCTTGGATTTGTCTCAAATTCTCTATACTTGCCTCCATTGCATCTTGGTAGGCTGTCGTCTCTTCCTGCCAGGCATTCATATTGGCTTTCAACCTCTTCTCTCGCATGGCGGCCGTTCTTCCTTCAGTGGCTCTCGTTTCTGCTTGGATGGCTCTTGTCTCTGCAGCCATCTCTTCTCGCCAAGCTTTCAAGTCGGCGTCTATTTTTGCCATGAAATCTTCTTGGGCGGCCAGCAGGCGTTCCAACATTTCTTCAATTTTCATCATGTGGCAGTGTAACACTCGTAACTTGTGGCATGTTCACGTTCGTAAAGCAATTCTGACACCAAATTGTCACGTGTTGGGTGTATAACACAACAAATAACTTCACGCCTATTGGATATAGCGAATTTTATTTCACACACACTCTTACAATCACACAATTCACAATTTCACAACTACTGCCATCTGCAGTATTACAATTACTTGGCCTGCGAATGTTAGACTACAACTGACTGGTTGACTGTTCCAATTCAACTGTCTCCGGCGATGGCTACATTTCCACTCAACTCAACTCAACTGTCTTCGGCGGCTGCTACACTTTAACTGCTCACTGCTGACTGACTGCTGCTATATTGCAACTGTCTTCGTAGGCAGTGTAGTTCTCTTATAAACCCTCAGCTGGACAATGAGAAAACGCCTTGCTTCCTTGTTGCCTAGTCGCCTGTTTACCGATGTTGCTGGGCAGTGCTGCTGGGAGTTGTTTACGGCTATGTAGCAACTGCGGCATCCCGTGTTACGTCACTGCGGGAAAAGGGGTGTCTACCGAGCGTTGCACACTGATGGACACAGGGTTGACTTGCCTGTTACCGTAGTAACGACAGTGCTCCGATGCCGCCAAGTCAGCGCTGGGGAGGAAGGGGGTGTCCTCCATAGCGCAACATGTCACAATATAGTAAAATTTCATTAAAAAAATTCCACTAGCAAATTTCACACATTACAGACTTGTCTATTTTGAAACAGCACAGAACCCTAGACCATTGACTGAAAATGGTGTAAGCAGATACTGAGACATGAAGATGAAGCTTCTACAAGCCACTTCAATTGATTTCACATCTTTACAGCACATCTTTCTAAAGATGTTTTAATATTATCTTCCCATCTATTCCAAGGTCTCCTATGGGGGTTTCTATACTCACATTTTATACTCCTGGTCTCTAGAAAAAGCGCAAAATAATGACAGTTGTCGTTCTTTCTGTAAGGACAGCCATTCATTGCTACAATGGAAGTCACCACTTTTGTTCCGACATCCAAAAAATAGGTATAAAAGTTTGTCAGATGCTTGACCCAGTGCCTCTCTCTCATGAATAAAGCTTCGAAATGGGGCCACACCAGTGCCAGGGCCAATCATTATTACAGGACTACCCTGAAAATAAAACATATAGCCATTAATGTGATTTTGTATTTACAATGTCTGTTACTGTTTGTTACAACAAAACAAATGCTTTTTTTTTTCAAACTGTACAAAAGTAATGTACTGAACCATTATATTTCTATTCTTTCCCTAATATTTAAAGCACAACAGACCACTGTAGGTCGCAGTGCAAGGGCTGAGAAGGCCTACCCTTCATACATTCATTCCCTAATATTTAGTTGTAACTATTGCTTTATGGATCTTAAGAGAGAGAGGATAGGATGGTATGGATTGGATTGATCTGGCTCAGGATAAGGACGAGTAGAGGGCTCTTGTGAACACAGTAATGAACCTTCAGGTTCCATAAAATGCTGGGAAATTCTTGAGTAGCTGCAGAATTTGCGGCTCCTCCAGAAGGGCTCAGCTCCATGAGTAAGTAAGTAAGTAATTATTATTTTAAAATTAATGGGAAATTAAAATGACTGATTATTTTGGACAATGGGGGGGAAGAGGAATGCATATAGGATATTGGTGGGAGAGCCAGAAGGAAAGAGACGAATGGGAAGACCAAGGCATAGGTGGGTGGACAATATTAAAATGGATCTTAGAGAGATAGGATGGGATGGTATGGATTGGATTGATCTGGCTCAGGATAGGGACCAGTGGAGGGCTCTTGTGAACATGGTAATGAACCTTTGGGTTCCATAAAATGCTGGGAAATTCTTGAGTAGCTGCAGACTGCGCTTCTCCTCAAGAAGGGCTCAGCTCCATAAGTAAGAAAGATTATTTTGGACATTAACCATCATCCTAATTTGTCTTTGAAACATTTCGGATATCGGATTGTTTCTATCCTTGTGTAAAATGCCCAACAGTACAGCCCGTGTATTTAGAAGTGACAGTCCAGGAAAAGGTGCGCAGTGGATGGGCAGGTCCATTCATGAAAGTTGAAGGGTGTTGTGATTAGTCATTCGTATGTTTTCAGTGCAAGCAGATGTCTCAAGCTCAGTTAAAAGCATTCTTCCTTGTAGAGTCAAGTTAAAAATGTTGACTCTTGGAGTCTTATTTGAGTGTATTATTCTCTATTTACTGCATTAATATTTTATTTCAATGTTTATTTCTATTCGTTGATTTTCTATTTTGTTTATTTATATTTGTACATTTTTTCTATCTCCTTTAACATGCCACCTACACAAAGTAAATTGAGTGGAAAGGTGTTGCATTCACAATCAAGAGAAATTGTTAGTAATGTATACAAGTATATGAAAGAGGCTGGGCCAACAATTACAGTGATGAACATGGGAGTGGAAGTAGCAAAGGAAACAGGTGTATCAGAAAGTAGTGTCAGAAGAATAATAAGAGAAACAAAAAATATCGAATCTGGGGCTTCCACTTCCTTTTTGACACCCCATAAAGACAGACCTTGGAAATGTCCACTAGCCACTTTGGACAACTTTAATGAGTCTGTGGTGCAAAGAACAATTAACGACTTCTGCATAGTCGAAAAACAGAGACCTACCCTGAAAAAAGTTCATGAAAAGTTGAAGAAAACGTTAGAGTTTGAGGGATGCATCTCCACATTAATTTTTTTTTTTTTGAAACTGGGGTTCCGCTGGAAGAAAAAAAATAATCAGCAGATACAGGTAGAACGATATAATATCAGAGCCAAACGTCTTTGGTATTTGCAGCAAATTAAAGAATATAGGGAAGAGGGCCGCCCAATCATCTACATGGATGAAACCTATATTAATTTATTGCACACCACCCCATATGCATGGAGTGATGGATCCATCCAAGGATTATTTTCCCATGTCCAAAGGCCAATGGCTCATTGTTATCCATGCAGGGGGAGAGCAAGGTTTCATCCCTAATGCCTATGTGTGCTTCAAATCCCACCAAAATACAGGAGACCACCACAGCGACATGAACTACCCAATTATGAATAATGGTTAAAGGAGTGACTTATTCCTAACCTTCCCCCAAATTCTGTCCTTGTCATTGATAATGCTCCCTACCATAATGTACAACTGACCAGAGCCCCTAACTCAAATTAAAGAAGAGATTTTATGATATCCTGACTAAAATATATCACCTTCCACCTATTACCTTCAATAACACTGATTTTTCATCATTGCGGAATCCAGACATATATAATATGATCCTACCACTTAAACTAAAATACCTTTCCTATAAAATAGATGGAATGTTTGCAGAACACAGTCACAATATTTTACGACTCCCTCTGTATCACCCAGAACTCAACCCAATTGAGTTAATATGGGCCACCGTAAAAAATTGGGTTGCTCAAAACAATACCACATTTAAATTGGATGACATCATTAAACTGGCAGACCAAAAATTGGCTTCCATAACTGCAGAAGAATGGCAACGTAGGTGCCAACATGTAAGGAACATTGAGCAACAATTAATGGCACGGGAAGGTCTTTCGGATACAGGACGGAAGTTCGTCTTCCATGTTGGTGGTGACAGTGATGACAGTTCTGATGATAGCTCCAATTCATCTGGTGGTGATGAGGAAGGACAGGCATGTGGAAATGATATCTATGTGGAAATTGCCAGTGTTGCCCCTTTAGAATAGACCTGTGTAATATGTAAATAAACTCTTAATGTATATAACCGTGAAAAGTGTATATTGTGTATAATGGATAATAGTCTGCCATATGGCACTTAAAACTTAACATTGGATGTGTGAACATCATCGAGACTAAACCGCCAACACTATGCAACACAATGAGGTAAGATATTATTTCCTTTTGAGAACGCCTGTACTGCATTCCCCTCCACACTTGTCAGCTCTCCCCGCCACTACCAATACTTCTCCTACTCTGTGTCGGAGGACTGTCACTTCTAAATACCCGGGCTGTACCTGATGATGGAGACAAAGTCAAGTCTCTGAAATATTGTTTTAAATAAAAAATATAATGGGTAATACCTCCCAAAAAATCAATCATTGTATTAATATACCATCATTATAAGCTTTTAGATCTTATATAATTGGCAGTTAATTTCTGTTTAACAATCAACTTTCAAAATCACATTCTTCCCACACTCCATCTTTAACTACTTACTTCTGACACTGGGAAACGGAAAGATCCTCTTCGTAACCAGACTGGTATGTTCATTCCTGGACTCAAGCTTGCCAACCAGTTGGAACAAAGACCAATACGTGGGGTTACCAACTTGGTACGGTACTGTACTACAGCCACCAAAATGTGAATTTCTCCTTTATGAGCCTAGAAGAGAGAATACTGCAGTGCCAAGTGCATAACACTTCTGACTTGCAGTCAGTGGGTGACCAGGTCAAACCCTGGCTAGGAGACAAACTATCCTGACAGGTTTCCCATGGTTTTCCTCGGTCCCTCCAGGCAAATGCAAGCACCTTAAAATTAGGTCACAATCATTCAGTATGCACTCACCTTTGGAGATGATGCTATTGAAAATGCCCTTGGTCCAATGGGTTGTAATAATTCAAACATATACTCAAGGGGAATGTTTGCTGTTGCATGTGGGAAATCTTGCAGCACCTCAAGAGCTGTTCGGCGTGGACGGTTTGAATAATTATATAATTCCTCTTGTCCTTCTGGGGTTGAAAATTCAATCAGTTTCTCTTTTTCAAGGTCATTTGTGGTAAAATGTGAGAGCAAATGGAAAAAATAACGTCGTGGTACAGCCTGTAACATGAACAGATCTCTTACTGATTAGTGTTGAACATTAAGTCCTTTCTCTAACACACTGTAACCTCTTAAATGTTTAATTTGATTGTGTGGCTTTAAAGACACTCCAGCCAGAAAATGTTCAGACAGAAGTTTCTTTCTTTCTGCAGATACATGAACTAATCCACTGGGGGATTTTATATAAAGTATAAAACTTGCAAATTACTGAATAAATAAATTTCTTAACTAACTGGTTTTCCTTGAACAGGTGAAAGTTATTAAACTATTCAAGAAATTTACTCTTCTATAGATCCCAAAAATTTACCATGTTCACAAAAGCCTACCACTGAACCTCATCGTGAGCTAGTTCAATTTAGTCAACTTCTGAACCCATTTCTCTAAAATATATTTTCAATTATCTTCTCATTTATACCTAGAATTCCCATATATTCCTACCCTTTAGGTTTCCTGACCAAAACTGTATCTGTATTTCTTGTTTCCCCATATATGCTATATGCTCCATCCATTTCAAACTTCTTGATTTAATCATCACAAAAATATAAGTAATGAGTACTTACTGTAAAACTCCACTGTCTAAGGGCAGTCGCACACCAACTGTATCAAGACATGAGACAAAAGACGCAGTCTTGCTTCATCCGTGATTCGTCAGCATCATGACTCAGACCAGTGTGCAGTGGTTTTCATAATCTCATTCATTTCAACTGTGCTCCTTTCTTTGCATCATGTCATACACATTGTGTCTTGATGCATGCCGGTGTGCGGCCTACCTAACATGTCCCTGGTACTTGCGCTTTCTTAGACACAAATATTCCTCTCAGCACCCCGTTCTCAGACATCCTCAGTCTGTGTCTCTCCCACATAGTGAAAGACAAAGATTCAGACCCAAACAGATCTTAGTCATGCTTACATTGAGATCCCAATATCGCTGAGCACATTCCCTCAGTGTAAGAGGATGTTTTAATGCTAGTGGCACTGGAGCATCATTGTCCCTTTCTGTCACTTTAATCACAGCATCAGGATGTAGCCTCCCATCAGACCCAGTTGATAAAAGAGTAAAGAACTGGTCAACTTTATCTGGTCCATTGTGCGGACAAACCATAAGCACGTCTCCAGGGGAATACTGCAGTTTTGGGGCTGACAACTGAATAAGTCTTACATCCTGCAACAGTGAAAAGTAGCCAGAACATGTTATTGGCATTTTGTCCACAGGAGATACAGTAGTACAGTCAGTTCCCCTGTATCAGCTAGGCATAAACATAAAATATTAAAAGGCCACATAGGGAGATATACCACTAAAGGTTAGTGTCTTCTGGGATGCGATGCCATGTAGTCTGGTAGACGTTTACAAGCATTTCAGACCAACATGCTACTTCCTTTTTCAAAATATGAGTATGCTGAATGTAAGAAAAGTGGTACAGACATTGGGAAAGTGATGAGTGGGCTAGCAGTGAGCGATTCAATCAGAGTAAGGAGAACGGGAAAGAAACCGAGGGCATAAAACCATGATGATGGCCTTGTGTGCCCCATATTCATAATTTTTTTACCTTGAGAGGTGACAGAAATAGAATGCATGCAGTAGTAAAACATAAATTTGATAAAGAGTGAATTCAAACAAGATACTTTCAGCACAGATGTCCAATACTCTATGAAGTAGTCACCCTGTGGCCAATATTTCTGGAATGTGGTCCACATACCTACCAAAACCAATTAAATTTCTCTTGAATACTTTTGTATTCTACATAACTGCCATAGAAGGGGCTGTGCTACCTCATGATGATCTGTAGATCCGAAGCAAGACTTGAGCCATGAATTCTTTTGAAAATTACTGATCAGTAACCGGTACCTGGAATTTGTACTACTTGGACAGATACTTAAAGCAAGTGAACAATATACAAAAGAGTACAGTATTTTGAATATTCATACCTGAAAGTGTAATGGTGCTGTTGTTCTTGTATTTCTAATAACGCTGACATAACATGGATTGTTTTGTGAAAATTCTTCTTTTATATTATTAACCACATTTCTCTTCAATAATTCTTTATTGCTACAATTTTGGTTGTGTGTTTCATCAGTCTGACTTAGAGATACAAGCCACCTAAGAGAAAATTGTCATTTATAGCCACAGAACACTGTTAGTAAGTAGTTTATTTAGCTTCCTTCTGCTAAGAATAGTGATAAACATTATGCAGGAATTTCCAAGCTGTTTCATAAAAATGTACTAACACAAAAGAAAGAACTAATACTGGAATGTCTGAGGACCTGTAAGTTGACAACACAAATGAAGATATACAGGAAGAGACATGATGACCATGAATATGGAATGGATAAAGACAGGCAACAAGGGATAGCATGGAAGTATAAATCTACAAAATAATAAGATTCAGGTAATGCCTAAAAGATACTAAAAATGACTATGGCCAGTATATGTATTAAGTTTCCTAAACTGCAAACACATGAAGCGGAGATGATGATGAAAAAAGAGGCATCTCTCTGCCCAAGACAAAGAGGCAACAAGTACTTAACATATCTTGCATGTATATGCCATTAACTAAACTAAAAACTAAACTTCATGGCTTTTAGTCCACGAGCAATCTCTACCAACTGAGTGACCGTGGCATGTTAGAGAAGTTAGTGTCAACTTTTGCGGATAGAGGGTGTTGCGTGGTGAGCACAACAAATCCCCACGGCCATTAGTCTCGGTTTTCTAGACCAGAGCCGCTACTTTTCCATTCAAGTAACTCCTCAATTATCCTCATGAAGCTGACTGGACCCCTTTCCAGACCCACTACTTCTCAGAAAATCTGGTAGCGCCGGGAATCTAACCTGGGACCCCTGGACAGGTAGCCAGGAACTCTGAGGCAACATATGCCATTAACACACACATAAATTACTTGTACAGAAAACTGGAATCTAAGCATCACTCAGATCTTATCATGGCAGGCACAGTAGAACCTGCCTTATCACTTCTCTGTCATGGAAAGAAAATTCTCTTAAATAAAGTTATAGTAGTGCCTACTGAAGCATATGGGGGGATGGATATAAAAGCTACCACATGCATGTAAGCAGTCATTTCAATCTCTGATCAATTTACCCCAAAAGAAAGAGACCCGGGTATTACGGAAGTTTGGTGGGCTTCAGTACCAGGCTGGGGTGCATCAAAAAGAAAATTTCCAGCCTTACTCTTGTCAAAGTCTGATCACAGAAATTCTGACAGAATCGGCAATGCTGTTCTCTGACAGAAAAAGGGTTAAAGCATAACTTCATATAAAAAATAAAATGCCAACACTCTACTCTTTCTCCCTCAAGACAAGACATACCTTGGTGGGCAAAGACTATCTTTATCTAACGGTATTACACCATCAGGCAGAGGGCAGAGATCAGACAGCTTGATCCATAAATCAAGAATCCATGGATCAATGACTGCATCAGCACCAAGATCATGCTGCTCATCTGCAAGACCAATGTTTAAAAGGGGCTGGCCTCCCAGTTGCAAAAGGCGACGATGAAGCTTCTTTGCTGCATAATTAAATTTGGCATATGAAGAATCACCTAAACCCAGGACAGCATATCTACAAATGGAAAACATAAATATAACAGCATCTGTTATCCACAAATGATGGCATACTTTTCATTAAAAACAAATTTCCATACTACACTTTACTAGAGCGGTTTTGTGGACTTTTACCACCTCTGCCTCAAATATGCGTCCTAAAATGGTAATAAAAACATGTGAAAATGAAGTACATTTTCATGCTTTACTTTAAAACTTAATCTATGTCTACAACAATTGTATTTATATTCACTTCTTTTCCTTTATGTATAGAAAGAAATTAAACAGAAATGCACATCTGATTCAACAGTTCCATCCATACTTTAAAATGAGTTTTCCCAACTGTTCCTTCAGCAAAGAACACCAACACAACTGAGTGTCTGTACAGTTGGCTCACATTTAGAATACACTGACCTTCAAGACTGCTGTTTTGTGGAATCTGACCCCATATAATCTGGTATATATTTACCAATGTTTTGGAGAAACCTACTACCTCCATCTTCGGCTGTCTTCTCTGGTATTGCAGATGAATTCCTCTATATTATAGATGGAGACAGAGGACATCAGATTCCTCTGAAATGTTCGTAAGCATCTACCAGACTAAACTGTGTCTAAAACATCTTCCATAGTGCATCATCATCAGACAGTGACGTAGGGCGTTATCATACTACATTATATTTTCAATATGCAATGGGAAGCAAAACTGCCATATCGATGAGTTTGTTGAACACAAATATTTCTTCCATAATTCTACCTACAAAAGGTATGATGCCGTCTAAGGTGTTTTACATCAGTATAAATGACATCACATCTCACAAGACAGTAATGTTCATAGTCACCGCGGAAAGAATCAGAAATCTTATAATACTGACCTTACTCCTTGAAGTGAGTCTGCAGGGAGATTTTTTCTCAGCAAGAATCTCCAGAACACTTTCATGTTATCTGGTTCTTCACCTTGGCCAGTTGTTGAACATATGAATATCACAATTGATTCATGTATCAGCTGCGATACTGGGTAATCATCCATTGCCCGAACTGGGCCATGAAAATGAAATCTAAATAATCACAACACAGACAACATTAATTTGCTTTCAAAGTAATTATAACACAGACTTGTAACATTAAAGAAAAGAGTTATAAAAAGTAAGCTTTCAATTCCATATCTCAATGACACTAGTGAAGGCTGAAAGGCATCATGCAGTGACAGGACGATAGGGCTGTGTCATCAGTTTCTCACTGCAGAGGCCCAGGTTCAATCTGTGGTTGATACAGCACCAATAGGGCAAGTTTTTCCCCAGATGCTTCCATTTCGTCTGCCAATTATCATTCTACCAATGCTCGGTTCTCTCATCTAACAACCAAGGCTTCCACAAATGGCCCACCTCTGACCTAATGGGACTGAAGTCTGACCCCATATAAGAACAATAAAAAAAAACAGGAAATTACATAATAAATATCTTTAGGTTTATGTTTCAAATGTTATAACATAAATATAACTAACCTCTTTGCTTCTCTCCAAATTCTTTCTGCCACTTCCTTGGCAGTTCCCGTCTGACTTCCATAGAGAAAAGTTATTTTCCGGTTTTCCATTTTCTGAAAATGATAACTTACTGAATAAATTTATGAATCCTCTGGGGGTGAACAGTATTATCCAGTGTTTTCCATAAGTCTTTTGTAACAGCTGTTAGTATGGAAGCAAATTGATAACAAATGAAGGTATAAAATTACACAAATCATATATGTGAAATCATGATTAAGGGATTAGTTAACAAGATGGATAGCAATGCTTGGGCCTTTCATATTTACACCAAAATTTATAACAAAAATACTGACTTTGATCCAGTTCAACACGGTAACCTGGGATTAGTGAATTTTGTGATAAATAGATAATATGTCAACCACACTAACGTAAAATACCCAAATATAAAAATTCTGGGAACTAACACCTTAAGTTCTTCCATATACAAGCTACTTCTCATAAAAAAATTTGTACTAATAACACAACTTTCTTTGTTGGATGATGATTCATAAAATTAATGCTTCCTAATAAACTCTTCTTCTAGCAACATTGACATACTTTCACAATACAGCAACCCGTTATGCTTGCCTCTTCTATTTTCATGTTTTCACGTACCTGCACTTAACTAGTATCAGACATCCGTAGTGCTACAGGCTACGTTAAAACAAACATTTCTCTTACATTTTCCCCAACTAATTAAAAATCTGTGAATGGTTAGGTCATGTTCAATTCTCTTAACTAGAACAGAATAGAATTTGTTTGTATTTCATAGATCCTCCATACGCCTAAGCCAAGAACATGCAAAAATACAGATACAATACTTGTTTACAATATGAACAGCAATATAAATACACACACATCTCTCATAATACACTATTATATCAAAATAATGATATCAGAGAAGCATCACCGTTATTACTTGCAAGTATTTACAACTGACAATATTTAAGCAGTTTGTAACTGATAATTATTCAACAGTTTAATATCATGATATAAACTTTCGAGTCTACAATGAAGACTACTAAATAACTTAATTCCAGTACAGTAAACTCCTTTCTAATATTTACTGACTACTGTGTCGGGTGCAAGGTTATATCGCTTTTCCCTCGTTACTCGTCTGAAAAAATTCCATGTTGTCCACCACATATAACAATGAAAGTAACAAACTCACAAGCTAGCATAAGAATGTTCCATTTCTTAAACAATTCCCCACCAGTTGTGTTGGTCCCTAATGGGCATAAATAAAATTTGTATTCTGTAAGAGGCCCAACAGTACACAGTATCACTTATATACGCTTAAACCCATTGTCACCATGTTATGAAGGTATGAAGTTTCTCCTTAACACTGCCGTGCTTTGTGTTTCGTCGCACCCCAAGCATGTCTGAATTTGCAGTAAAAACTACTTCAACACTGGTAGAACTGTACTGTTCCCGAAAGTTTTGACGGCACGCAGCAAATAATATTATTTATATTACAAACAATTGAGGTTAAGCGAAAGCTAAAATACCACTATCATAAATTGCAAATAAAAGATTACCAACCTACAGCACTAGATAAGGCACACAAGCCTGTCAACAATCACTTTTCTGATAGTCTACATCGATCGACAAGTAGCACAATTAAACAACTTCCAAATTTACATTACAATGTGTTCAAACGCCGGCGGGAAGTTCAAACATCCTTAGAGATAAGGGTGTGTCCTATAGTCGGCAATTATTCGAATGCAAAAAATTTTTTGTTTACAACATTTCGGAATTTTCTAATAAAATCAAGTATTTCTTACAAACCAAATTAATTTCATCTGTTATTATATTAATTCAGTGAATGTACAAAACCATAATTACAGCACTAATGATAATAACTTTTATGACCTGAAACAAATGCTAATATTTTTAAATCTCTCTTGATGATATTTATGACAGAACTACAGATGAAAGGCAGAGAACAAAGGGGTAAAGAATAATAGCTTTTTTCTTCATTAAACATTCCCAAGGTACAAACAGTTAATAAAAACTAGAATGTTTTCATGGAACAAACATGAATCAGAGTTTTTCTGACCAAAGAGAATAATAGTTTAGGATTGATTGGAAAATTAATTTCATTATGATATAATTCCCACATACTGTAATATGGTAGTTGTACCAATGAAGATTAAACTCCTCTCCTAGTAGTATTATTACAGGCTGTAGTATGATGAGAACAGTAGCAGTAGAACTGTCTACTCTTAATGCTAGTTCTTGGTTAACACCAATAGTGCAATTTGAATCCTGTTTTGGTATGGGTAATTTTTCAAAATTCTCTTTAAGGGTGTCTATATTCATATATGTAAAAGCCATTCATCTCCATCATGCACCACAATGAAAATTTTGACTGGTTCATAAGCATTGAATGGTGTGGGCACATTCTTCATACTGGAATAATGCTAGCAACAAGCTTTTGTGTCTGAAAATGTCTTGTTATAATGACAGTTTAAAGAAAGCTGTCATTAGCTGTAAAGGAGCAACTGCAGAGCACATCATCTGGGGCAGTATTTGTGGGCTTACATTGGCCATTAGTAGGTTACAGGATGGACCACAGATTCAATTCTTAGCATGGCCAGATTTCTTTCTTTCTTACTGCATTCAGACTGGCTCTTGGGCTCACATAGCTACCTGTTCAGTGGATATGGAAGGATATCGCTTTGAAGCCAAAGTGGCTGGTAAATGAAGCAAACCACTCACATCTAGGTTAAAACAAAAAGCTAAAGCTATACCTGTACCAGGCCGTGAAGGCCCAATAGGTTGTGAGACGTCAAGGCTCCCACTTTTCTTTAGACAATCGGCTCATAGATGGCAATAAGGTTGTCAGCCTTATGCACTGGCTACCCTTTGCCCCCCAGGAAGATTCCTGGTACTCATTTCTGCTAGAGGCTGAGTCAACCCCAGGGCCATAATGCAGCTGGAAGGATTAGGTAAATTGAAAAAATCCACCTCATTGAGACTCAAACCCATGACCATCTGGCTTGTAGCATAGTATCTCAGCCAACTACGCTACTGCATGCCCCCCACTCACATTTACAGCCAATGTTAATGCATGGAGCTACTTCATATGCATTAACGCCACGATGCTTAATTAAGAACATGGTATATCTGCATGTTACTGTGCTTAATTAAACAATGGGACATTACCTTTACTCAAAACTAATGCATTCTGAAATTTTCCATTATTTAATGATCACTGAAAAGTATAAAACCACTGACATCAAATATTTATTTATTAATTAAATCTTTGCTAACTGCAAATTAGGGAAAGAAGTAAATTACAAACTGCAATTTTAACACTTATAGTTTTTAGTTGATTATTTAATGACACTATCAGGCTCAAGACCATACAGCATCAGTAACATTTCTGTAAGTTCCTTCATAGCACAATATGAATGGCAATCACTTCACTTCTATGCCAATAAACATGATATACACATATATTTATCAGACTCCACAATTAAATTAACTTGACATACACACTTACTTAAGCAGATCTAAAAATACAAAATCAAACCTGTGTTCATTACTTCTCTTGCCACCTTCATAATACTAGTTTCAGTCAACTGTAGAAAAAAATGCTACTATCTAACAAATTAATTGCAAATTTATGCTTGTTTATTATATAATAACAATTTAAGAAAATTTGTGTGAATTTATCACAAGGGACTTCTGTATTTAAAATACAGCTCCTAAAGCAATAAAGGTAATGCTATCCCTATAACAGGCCACAGAGGTCGATACAGTTGAGACACTGAGGCTCCCACATTTTCTAGACAACTGACTCACAGATGGCAGTAAGGTTATCAGCCTTAAGCATCAGCCACCCTCTAACCTCAGGAAGATTCCTGGTACTTATTTTTGTTAGAGGCTAAGTTGATGCCAGGGTCATAGCTCCTACAACAGTTCTATAATAAAACAGTCAACACAGAAGCCCCCATGTAGAATATTATTGCATCACTAAAATCAATGTGCTAAAACAGTAATTCATTTAGTCAAAATTGAAACAGTTACGTTGTGGTGTTAAATTTGCAAATTTTAAAAATTTTGGTAAAAATAAAGTGTTTGACTAAAAGCTTTAAGTGACTAAAATAAAAATATGTACAAAACAAAAAAAAAATTCAAATATATATATGATGCCCGAATGTACACCAAACACACAACTAATTTTCCATATGCAATGCTATATATTTTGGGTATTCTGTGAAATACGAGTTTCCAAGCTGTGAACAATTTATAGTTCTCCAAATATTTAATTCCTATCTACATATTCAACAATTCATACATAATCATTCATATATGAATGATTCGATTTCACACCTATTCCAGTAAATCTACTAATTAATAGATGTAAAACTTTAATTTTCTAACATTAAAACCTACAGAGAAAATTAACCATTTCCCTAAAATAATACTCCTAACACTTCATACTAAATACAAACAAAAAGGAAAAAGGGGGTCAGGGGAACACCATAAATTTAAATCACTGATTGCCATGTGCATATACATGTCATATTCAGTTGCTAAGAAATATGTCCGAAAATGTGTGACCTAATAACACTTTAAATGGATCTGAAAGAAATAGAATGGGAAGTTACAAAATGCATTTATCTCTGGCTCAGGAAAGAGACAGTGGGAGGCTCTTGTGAACACAGCAATGAATCGTTGCATTCCATAAAATGTTGGGAGTTTCATTAGTGGTTGAGCAACTGGCGGCTTCTCAAGGACTCAATTCCACTTAGTTCATTAAGAACAGAAAAATTATACAGAACTATGGAGTGGTCATGGGCAGTGAATGGGGTAGGAGAGGACAAGCCAGGGATTACCCCTCCCGTGTTTTTTTCTTGTAAATAATCAAAACTGTCTAGAAGAAAAAGAGGAAATTTATACCAAATATTAATACTGAAAGATATTTCAGTTTGTGGTGCCATCTACATTTAAATCTATGAATTCATAACTGTGCAATCTGCAAAAATATTCTTAAATGTAAGAGTGCAAGCTAATTTTCTGACTCCCCCACCACAGAAAAACTCCTCGTGGCATAAATGGAAGTAATACTAATATCATTCCTAAGATAATGTTATAATTTTGCGTCTCAAGTCATGAACTATATTAAATATACTAAATGCCTGTTCATATAAAATGTCCTGTCTAATGTCTATGAAAATATGCTGGCAGTGTCATTTCTTGATACAAATTTGAGTTCTTTCATGACAGAAAATTATATCCAACTTACCATACATACAAATATAAGTATTTTTACAAACTGAACCTAAACATGGAAAAGACTAATATATTGTGTCCAATATCATAAAACAAAGCAACACTTATTAAGGTTCTCATGGCAAAGACTATATATAGGAATCTTCTATGACATGACACCATGTTGTTTGGTATACTGTTAGCAACATTTCACATGACCTTATTACATCCATGTTTAGGTTAGAACTGCACAGAAGATAAGACTCTTCAGATTAAACAACTTCTGTGAAAATAGTATTTCTGACATTCATTTAAAGGGTTCTCACTGAAAATCTCAGCCTAGATATTGCATATTGAGGTATTTCAGGTGAGTGTAGGCATAACACGTGTTCACTACACCAAAATACATATAAATGGAAGCAATATCAACATGTGCTCACAGTATTCAGCCAGTAACAAGCTGTAAGTATTTCTCAAACTGAACTTTCAGTCCCCTTCTACTCTTTACTGTTACATGTAAGTCATAATACTGTACTCTGACAACAGTTTAATTCTGTGACCCTTCATTACTCGCATTTCAGCCCCACATCACACAAACTCTTAGAGGTTGCACAGAAGTTCATCATGAATTTCATATGTCCCATAAACACAGTTTTGTATGGCCTTACTGTTTAGTGAAAAAGCTTGTTTATTCACAGTACAATCTTCTTTTTCTTGAACCTGTAGCCTCAGAACATAAATGAGAAAGAAAAACGCATCATGAGATATATTATTTCTTTCCCGCATGAAGAAAACAATGAGTTCATTCAATCTACAGAATTGTCACACGATTGAGAAACCTTACTTGATCTGTGATAACAAAGCTCTGCATTCTTAACCTCAGCACTAGATGGAGCTAAATCAACTTTATATTCCCATTACCAATTTTATATCTTTCAAAATATCTTTGCAAGTAAGTTGTCATCAGATGGTGACAAAGATCACTACACCATCAGAAAGTTACAAAATTATTTTTTCAGCACATAATGGGGACCAAAATCACCAAACACTGAGGACATTTCTTCCATAAGACTACCTATTCAAGGTATGGCAGACATGCACAAATGTGTTCAGACAAAAAACAGAAGGCCAAGGAAGCCATGGAGCTGATGTTCACATGATTTATTTAACAGTGTCAGTAGTTCAGACTGTATAGTGCATACAATAGCATGATCAAATGTAAAATTTGAAAGGATGTGGAAGGAAGAGTGTCCTAATTTGACACACTATCCCAGGATTTGCTTGGAGGAACTGAGAAACGTTCGATTTACATATTGTATCTAATTTGATTATTTATCTGGTTTGATAGTGTGTTATATTTTAGTTATAGGTTAACCATGTCAAGAGTGATCATTTATTGTTGACAAATTCTAACCCTTTAGGCTCTTGGGAAAAAGGATTTCAAGAATGATGTATTTAATGATTCGACTTGTTCAAGTGTTACTGTTGTAGCAATTATGAATGCCAAATAAAATGAATTAATGAATGAACTAAATGAGATTTGAATGAGGCACCTCCCAAATGAGTCAGAAGCATTACTGTTCCAGCCAACTGGTTGGTTGACACTCCCTTCAATGACTCAACTATCCTGGTTCTGACTGGTCTGTACTATTAGAAATAAGCCACCATAATTCAATGTACAAACAGGACTAAGTTTAACTTTGAGGTATTCATGGCAGTGAACTTCTGAGTTGTGATACCATGTATTATTGTAGGTGGATACAAATGTTTCACAGAAACATGCTGCCTCCATCTTGAAGGTCAAAATGTGTAGTGTGAGGCCACTTAAATCCCCAAACATGGGTTAAGTAAATTACAAGGAAAAATGATGCAATCGAACAAGAGACAGTGGCTATGCAAATGTGATACACTACTGAACCTGATTAATGTAGGACATGAGATTTTCAGAGCAGTCACTGAAGAGTCACTTCTAGGATGCAACATCATGTAGTTTAGCAGAAGTTCAAGGATGGATCAGAGTACACACTGCCTCCATATTCAGGGGGGGGGGAGCCAAGAAACCAGCAAGCAGAGGCGCTATGCTACAAGCTGGAAGTTCACAGGTTCAAGTCCCAATGAGGTCACTGGATTTTTTCAGTTGACCTAATCCTTCCACCTGCACTAGGCCCTGGGGTTTACTCAGCCTCTTAACAGAAATGAGTACCAGGAATTAATTAAACAATTTTCCTGGGCCGGCACGTAAGGCTGACAACCTTACCGCCATCTTTGAGCCGATTTTATAGATAGTGTGGGACCCTCAACGTCTCACAACCCTATGGGCCTTCACAGCCTGGGACAGGGACAGCTTTACTTTTTTTTCACCAGCAAGCAGAGGTCACATTCCTCTTTGACTATGAAGAAAGAGGCTCTATGTTCCACCACAATGTCAGGGAACCTCTACTGAAACATAGCGTTACATACCAGAAGACAGTACTCTTCTTAATGGTGTTCCCCAAAATATATGTAACAACACTTTCTTCCCACTACTGATATTGGAGCTTAATGGTTTGCAATCCCCCACTACGCTTAACTCCAATGGCCAGAGATCACTGTTAAAGAATGGGACATAATCCTGGGCACTCAAGTCCTTTTCATGTAATGAAATTTACTTCCAAAACAGCCTAGTAAATCCTGCATATCCTGTAGCAAAAGACAGGTCAATACTGAGGTTAAATAAAATAAAATTTGAAACAGAGAACACCTTCGCCAACTGCAAATTTCACATATCTGCAGTTTTCTATTTAAATCCATTTGTCAACACCATGTTTGGTTTCATGTGTCTGCAGCTTTTATTTCTGGTACACATGGAAAAAATTGGTAGCTCAAGAAGAGGTTACACACACAAATTGTCATGAATGCAGCGTCATTATCATGGACTTCAACACTCAGTAATCTAATGTCTTAAATGGTTACATAAAACAGACGATTTCAATGTTTTACTTAGTATAGACACAGAGACCCAAGCTCTGAGCTATGTAATAGAAGCATAACATTGTCTGCTAATGGTACGGTCATAGCTATGGTGCAACTCAACAACACAGCTCTTGTCTTGCAGAGTATCAATGGTACCTGAATACGTATTATTTTTAAACATGTTATTTCACATTTTTTGTGTTTAATGAAGGAAGACAGGCAACTTTGTTAGGTTCTGCTGAGTGTTACCAGTGGAAATGGCTCCTGTCACACCGTATTTCCTATATAGCCTTGGTCTCACCAATAACAATATTTTTAAAAATGTCACCAGTGTGGTTGGTTAGGCATTGTTGTACACAATTACCCTGAAAATAAGACATGCTTTGCATAGCAGTTTGAAATAAACATCTGGAACAATATACATCTACACAATGAAAACAATGTTCATCACCTTGAGAGAGAACTCTGGTCTGCAATTACTAATCTCAAGCCAAATATAAAAAGACTGAGGTATGGAATGCAAGTCTACTCACATTTTAAACTCAACTGAATTTCTGCACATATATAAAACAAGATCTTAAACTGCATAAATTAGAGTGAATTATACGATCATACATGATCACTACAAAATTAGCAAGAGGAATATATAAAACATGACATGTAAGGGCAGTTCCATGAGAAAATGTATACAGGACACAAAGAAAATGTAGCCCATACAAAATTATTGGCACAAAGACCATAAGTCATATATTCAAAAGAACAGGCTACTTGCATTTCTGCACATTGAGAAAACAGGCTTACTCATTATTACAGTGTACACAACGTTCATTCATTACAATTGATGGAGCGAATGAAATGTTGCTTTAATTGATAAATCAGCTGCAAAAAAAGATACAAATTACTTAAACTGCAGAACTACATGTTACATAATGGTCAACTAATCTGTATAATGCACTAAAAATATGCATGACAAGTACCTTAAATCTGTTCAGATGCCAAAACCGGTCAACTTTCAACTGGCAGTATGAGTACACCTGAAGCTTCAATTCCATTGGAAGCCACAATATCAGATGGGCTACTTCTGGTTTCATTGCATATTTTCTGCGTACCATTACTTGAATCTCCTTCAATCTCCTTCAAAGGCACGTCTTCCATGATGTGTACACCTTCCTTCTCTTCTTCAGTAGTTTCTACTTTAAGACCTCCATTTCCCCCACACTGTTCTTCAAAATGAATATCATCCCCTTTAAATCCAAGTTCATTTGACACATCAGATGAAATTCTGCTGGTTTGAACCATTTTTTTCTTTTCTAGGTCTTCTCCCAAGCCATTTACAGACATATCTTTAGGCTGCAATTTTTTCTTATGCCTTCTGGCAAGTTTATTTACTTTCTTCTTAAAAATTTCATTATCTGAGAAGCTTTCTGCAAGACTTTCAAGTTCATTATTCAAATCTACTTTGTTGAATGCAGATGTACCACAGAGGCCTTTATTTTTATGCTTCTTTGTCTCACGATTCTCCTCAACTGTTGGATTTTTTGGCTGACCACTTCTTTGCTTCTGAACACCATTACTGCTTTCTACAGAATCTTCAGTTACGTTCTTGTGATCCATAATATTTTCATCACATATCACAGTACCATTCACTTCTGGAATCGATTCGTCATTGTGAGGACATGTATCATCTTGAATTAAAGTGTCTTCCTTTGGAAATTTTTCTTCATTCATGTCTTTGAAACTCTTTATGTCAGAATCAGAAATATTTTCAGACAGGCCATCTTTGTCTTCATCTGTAGAAGGCAGATTACATTCTTTTATCACAGTCTCTTTCTCAGCACAGTGGAGCACTGCAGTTTCTTCAGACAAAGCATGAGATTTACTTCCATTTGTAGTTTCTATTGCAAGATCTTCATCTTTTGTCTTTTGTGAAATTTCCTTATCAGCATAACTGACTTCAGGTGTGGGATCTGATGACTTTTCACTAGCACCTTCCTCTTCTGTTTCCATTTTATTACCGACTTCTGCCACGTCTAATGATTCTTCCTTAACGTTGGCTGGTGGTTCCTGCAAACAAAATAAATACCATCTCATAATGAAAGTCTTTCTAATATGTCACCAAGATTAATTATATCTTGTAATTTCTTTGTATGATAAAAGGACTTAAATGCACTAAAATGCTCATATGTAAATTTTTTGCCCAAACTTATTACTAAAGAGCATCAATGTTTTCTCCCAGTCTCCTTAACACTTTGTGGGTCGCGTACCCTTTAAAAGGTTTTTCGCTTTTAAACATGGTGGACCATTCGCCTGTTAACTGGTTTTTAGAACACGATAAGTTGCAACACACTATACATCTCTCTGGCGCCACCCAAATGAATGACTACCGCGTAATATTACTCCAGAATGTTTGCCTAGTACGTAGTAACTTGGCCTTGCTGTTTTGGTTCCCCCTCCAAAGGAAAATAATCTTTGACCCTTCAAGCTGTTATGTACCAGGCAGGATGTGTGCTATATGAATCAAGGACAGAAGCGGTTGAAGACGAAGCGATATCTCGGAGAAATGGAAATATCTTACTCACTCTCCGATGAGCTATTTGACGTGCCTTGTGAGAGGATTAGTGAAAGTGAGACAGTGGCAGTGACAGGGGTCAACAAACAATTGTGGCCACAGACAATAAAAGTAAAAGTAGCTCCGACGAAAGTGCAGGTAGAAGTGCAGGTAGTAAAATTGCGGGGACAGCCACATGGGGAAAAGTAGACAAAACGCCTACTTTGGGACAGTTTACTGGAAATCCAGGGGTGAAACAAATTCCATCCGACTCAACGCAAGTGTCTGAAGTAGCAGAACTGTTTTTTGGAGATAGGGATACTCGTGTTGTGAATATGATTTCCACAATTCATAATTCGAGCATGGTTGACGTTCAAAGAAGACATGGACAAAAAAAGAAGCCTATTTGTATTTCTGAGTATAATATGTTCATGAAGGGAGTTGATAGAGCCGATCAATACTTGGCCTATTATTCTCTTCCTAAATAAACAATAAATTGGACAAAGGAAGTTGCCTTGTGACTTATAAATTGTGCCATTTTCAATTCATTTTTGGTTTACAAAAATCTAAACCCCAATTCGAAATTGAAATACAAAGCATTTCTGATGAATGTGGCAAAGGCCTGGGCTACAGTCCAGATGGTGGCGGCAGAACGAAAGTCAGACACAGACTTAGTGCGACTGGGACCATCGACTCCCACCCCTCTCAGGCCTCATGTGGACCCCCCTGGGTGACTCTCGGGTGATATGCGGAAATATACCCTCGTGAAAATCGTGAAGAGTGAACATTCCAAGGGGAGGCATCCTTCTAGGCAATGTCCCGTTTGCACAGTTCACAGAAAAAGGAGTATGACTGCCTACATTTGCAAGTTCTGTGTAATGCCAATTCACAAAGGGGAATGTTTCCAGAAATATCACACTCTCAAGCACTTCTAGGAGCATTGGTAAGTGTTCTCCAAAAATTTTAGTTCGTAAAATTAATTATGAGATTTTATATTAATTTTTAAAGTGAACAGTGCACAAGTTAGGGTAGTAAGTTTAAAAATGCCGGTCCCCATGATGATTTAAATATTTAAATTGCCAGTCTGCAAAGTGTTAAGACATCTCTTGGTAAGATGTTCTCACAGCAGTTAACATTAAGATTACAGTCTTCTGAGTATCTGACATCATGTAGTGTGGTAGATGGGCACCAACATTTCAAAGAAATCTGCTGCTTCCATCTGCAGGGTAGGAGAGTATTACTTTTCTACCCTGAAGATATGGGCAGCAGGCTACTCATTCATTAGTTAAATTTGCATTTATATCATACAGTGTACTATAAAACTGAATATGTTAAAAATACATGGTGCAATCCAAAAGTTCAAGAAATTTTAATTTTGTGCGCAAATGGTTATGAGTACATCGAAATACCGCTAAGTGTCTCCCTACACACCCTTCTTGAATCAGTGTAGCAAAGGGCATCAGGTTGAGCGGTTGGGTTTATTGTTGGTGAACATATTTCCATTGTTGTGTTTCTGTGAATTTGCAGTTTTGCAATGGCTGATCTGAGAGAGCAGCATGTCTGTATAGAGTTTTGTTTTAAACTTGAGAAAACCACTGCAGAAACTACCAAATGTTGAAGCAAGCTTTGGGTGACAACAGTTTAGGCCAGACACAAACTTACGACTGGTATAAGCATTTATAAAATGGCCGAACATCGACTAATGGTGACGATCATTCGGGATCTGATTCTGCAAGATTGTAGACTGACCATCCAAGACCTCTGTAACACCTTGGGACTAAGTTATGGTACATGTCAACGAATTTTATCAGAGGAACTGAACATGAGGAAGATTGTGGCAAAGTTTGTGCCATGACTGCTGCAAAATGAACAGAAGCAGCATTGCTTTGAAGTCTGCAGGGAACTTCATCAACAGCTTCAAGGGGATCCAAACTTTCTTTCGAAAGTTGTCACTGGTGACGGAAGTTGGGTTTATGGCTATGACCCTGAAAGTAAGCAGCAATCATCACAATGGAAGAGCCCTTCTTCAGCTCAGCCAAAAAAAAAATTGACAAGTCAAGAGCAACATTAAGTCCATGTTGATCTGTTTTTTTTATACTGACGGGATTGTTCATAAGGAGTTCGTTCCTCCTGGTCAGACAGTCAATAAAGACTTCTATCGTGATGTTCTAAGGTGTTTGAGTTAGGACATTAGGAGAAAATGTCCAGAGAAGTAGCGCACAAACAACTGGGTACTCCACCATGATAATGCATGACCACACACGGCAGAAACGCTGGGATCAGTGTATGCACTCCCAAGGGGACTACTTTGAAGGTGATGGTGCAAAATAAGATCCAGGTAAGACGTAATAGTTTTTATTAATATTGTGACATATTGACCCCTACCTCCCCAGCTGCACGTAGCGGTAACGTAGCACTCGCGTAATAGGCGAGTGATCACCCCACAACTCTCCCCGCGGTGACGTCACGAGCGGAGCCGAAGTGAGCAGAGCGGAGCCGACGTTAGCCAAGTCCCCGCAACCTTGAAGCTATGCAAAGCGAGTGAACAGTGGTGACGTCACCAAGGGGTAACAGCGTCCTAGGCTATACGCCATGTCACACTAGCAACAGCGAGCGGAATAAAAGCCGGCTGAGCAGCAAGCGAGAGTGAGTGTTATCAACAGTGCTCAAGGTAGCAGCCTGCGAGTGTACGATAACTAAGAAGTCAGCGAGTGGAAGACTTATTGTGTTCTTTCGAGACTTAGTGAGTGCTGTAGTACAGTTATACTTGGAGTGTGTAATTCAGGGAGATTTGTATAGCTCCTGCGTTATTAGTGCGTGAAGATTTTGTTGTAGGGTTTGTAAACTGTGGAAACCCGTAACTGTGTGATAATTAATTGTAGCCGTTTCTTGTAGATTGTTGAATAAACCAATTAACAATCTCTATGGCGTATTCAGTAACGAAACACGTTACAATATATTTCGGGAACTTTTGGATTGCACCACGTATTATGCTAACAGTAACATCTGCAAAATTAGTCAAGATGGTAGTAGAATTACTTTATCATGGTCCTTGCACACCAACCCAGCTGTTGGATGTACTCTGATGTTCCCATCGGCATGCTGAGGACAGAATGAATTGGGGCAAAAGCCACATCGTCTAACGGTACGCTTGTTACACTCATTGCAACGATGCCACGGACAAAGCCATTTTCCTGTAAAATTTAAAACAAAATCATAACACTCATAATTACATTAAACAGAACCCTTAAAATATCACAAGCCAAAATGAAATACAGCTAACTTACAACACACTGATCCATAATTACTACACAGAATGAAATGTTATGTAATCTCTGCAAAAAGCAAATGCACATGGTACGGTGTCATCCAGCTGTATGTTTCATCTCTGAAACTACTGAATGGATTTCAATTAAATTTAGAATTTCAGATCTATAGCAAAATTTGTTTGTCAAACTTGATGTTTTGCTATATCACTCCAATTAAACCCTATTGCATGTGAAACAGAAATTAAACTTTAGTTTCTCAAACAATAACTCATCATACAAAACAGCAGAAGATAAAAAGGAAATACAAATCTTATTAATGTCTTCAGTAGTATTCCCAGAACTATTTCATGATTTAATCATATTCATTATGTCCCTGAAAACAATCAGGCTCAGTGCCATACAATGTTCATTACATCCCAATGTTTCTACAGGCTGTGACAGTTGTTGCACATAATTATTTCTCAAAAGATGGCAGCATCATACAACACTCTTTGACACAGCTTTCTAAATAAAATCATATATGTCATGCTAAGTAACATAAAATGCATTTTCAGTCATGAGTCAGATGAAGTCGTTACTTTATGTGATGCTCAAATCCAACATTTTCTCAAGAACGCTCATTGTACAAAATATCTGGCACAACAAAAAATTACTCTCACTAAGACCCACAACTTTCATTTGAAAGTTGTCCTTCATTTCAGTTCACACTAAACCCACATAACATCTACTATATGTGAATTTCAAATCATCAATTCATCACGTGCGCCCACACACACACACACACACCAGTCGTCTCCTGGTAACAAAATTAAAACACAGGAAATATAACAGTCTCACTGAATTACACACTCCAAATATTACATATAAAGTCTTTTCTTCACAGCGCCACTCTTAACTACACTGCACTGCACTGCACTGCACTCTGTACTGATCTAAGCTACAACAGGTCTTCATTATATAGGTTCCACATGGGCAACATACAAAACATAAGTGATGTGATTCCTAGCCAGCGAGTTCATTGGTGAGCTGAATGTTGCCTGAGCTGTAACATTTGTCCACTGATACACATCTTCCACTGTTGCAGGTTTGAAAGTGTTTACTGAGCCATTGCCTAGAAATGCTTAGAGCAAATCCGTTACATCATGTAACAAATCATGAGCTAACATATTGTGACATGTTGATCCCTACCGTCCCAGCTCCACGTAGCGGTAACTTAGCGATCGCGTAATAGGTGAGTAATCACCCCGCAATGCTAATCAAGCGCGGTGACGTCACGAGCGGAGCCGAAGAGAGCCGAGCGGAGCCGAAGATAGCCGAGCCCCCGTAACCTGGTAACTATGCAATGCTAATCAACAGCGGTGGCGTCACACTAGCAACAGCGCCCTGGGCTATACGCCACGTCACACTAGCAGCAGCGAAAGGCTATATAAGTGGACTCCACAGCCGTCGAAGACAGTTCAGAGTTGTACGGCAACAGTTATACCGTGGATATCGCCGAGTCGAGACGTAGAGTCAGCCAGTCAGTTGTATTGTGGCATTTGGAGTGTACTAATTGTGATACTGCAGATAGCAGTAATCGTAAATCTGTAATTTGAGTGATTGTGAGAGCGGATGTGAAATAAAGTTCGCTATATAAAATACATCGTGAACTTATTTGTCGCGTCATACGCCCGATACGCGACAATATCTTCTGACTCTGTGCAATGATAAATTATCCAGGAAGCAAATACACTAAGAATTTTTTATTGTATGAATAATAACTGTGGTATCTATAGTGTTTTAACTTTGCAACATCAAATGTGTACTGTCTTCACTCACTTGAACATGGACTATGGGTTCAAATCCCACTCAAGACATGGATGTCATTCTGCGATTATTCTGTGTTTGCATTGTCCTGTGTAGCTCGAGGACTTGCAACGGGCTGATTCCCCATCTCAGGAGTTCTACAGACTGTCTTAGGATTAAGAAACTGAAGTAAGACACAACATTTCATGAATGCCCTATGCACCAAAGGGGGAGCAAGAGGAAGGAGGAGAGGGGGGAAAGAGAGAGAGCATCAAATGTGAACCTGCAATAAATGAACATCAAAGCCAACATCATACACAAACTAGCAGAGAGCACAATGGAATTATTTTAGAAGTTATTACAACATATACAGTTCTCACCTTGAGGGGACCTTTTTAGCTTAAGGCAGTGAAGATGATAACCTCTGGGGCATGTCTTGTTGTCACAGAGTAGCAGTTCTCCACCCCCACCACAAATGAAGCATGTATCATCCTTCACTCTGACACCAGAATGTCGTTTCTTAGCTCGTTTTGCCAAGTTGTGTAACTCTATGCGAGGTTTCTTGTCCTCTTCTATCTGCTAATAGAGGAAACAAGATCTAAGACAGCAAGATATCAAAAGTTTAATACTGTCAATACCAAAATTTGTCAAGAAAATGATCCTTAGCCAGTTCCATCCACAATCCATCCTCACAACATATTTCCTTACAGTCCACCTTAACGTTTTATTCCTTCCTTATCTTGGTCTTCTTAATGATCCTTTTCCAAGAAGTTCACCCATAAATATTCTCTATAAATTTACACATTCTCTCAACCAAGCCACAGGACTGTTTTATCTTAATATAATTTTTCACAACCATGTTGAAACAGGAAACATTACTGCATTATATACAGAGTGTCCAGCCTTAAATGTCAATAAAATAAACTATGTCATCTGTTCAAAAAGTTCCAGAACTTTTGAAATTGCGCGCCATTTCAAATATCGCAGGACACACTCTCTACATGTGACTGAACAAATAGCTCTAGGGCAATGACTAATCACAGAAGGATGACACAGCAAAAAGGATGATAATTAGGAAATATGCCACTAGGCAGCACAACTTACCAGACATTGCTAAGATGTCAAGTTGGCACGATATTTCAGAAGTTCTGAAACTTTCTGAACAGACCACATATTATACAGCTTTTGACAATTGGTGTATGAGATAAATTTGTATGTTTTGAAACACTGCAACTCACCACATTTTTTCTGCGCTCAACAGATCTCAATACGGACATCATTTGTGTTACAGCACACTTCAAGGTTATACATACACAGTGTGTCCAGGATCTATTAGGATTGCCCTGCAATGCCATCTGTTGGAGAGTTGTGGCATTAAGATTCTTGAAGTTTCAGCTGTGGATGTCTATAATTTCAAAGCGCAAGCACCGCTGCATCATGTGTTTTCACCTTGAATGTAACAGTACTGTTCTGACACTCGTCGGAAAATGGCAGTTGGACAGAAAGCCAACATCAATTTTGTTTGAAGTTAGGCAAAACAGCTGAAGAAGCATACAAAATGATGAAAAGTGTGTACGGTAGTGATTGTGAGTCGCTCAAGCATTTTTCGATGGTATGCTGTATTTCGTGACGGCAGGGAGGACATTGTAGACGCTCCACATGCATCAAAGCTGAGAACAAGTCGCCGTGAAGAGAATGTGAAAAAAGTGACCGAAATCCTTGAATCAGACAGATGTGTTTCTGCAAGACTCATCGAGGAGATTTTGGGAATACCAAAATGTACTGTGCATCAAATTTTGACCGAGGATTTGGGCAAACAGAAGGTCTGTGTGTGGTTTGTACCGCACGTGCTGTCAGGCGATGAAAAAATGCCAGAGTGGAACATTGCAAAGACATGTTATGGTCGACCCAAAGTGATACAATATTTACAAAATAGATTGTTACTGGTGACGAGACATGGTGTTTTCAATATGAGCCTCTCAGAAAGGCACAGAGTGCAGCGTGGTTGAGCCCAAAGAAGCCGAAACCAAAGAAAGCGTGCATGCAAAAGAGTCGAGTAAAGACACTGCTAACCGTTTTCTGCCAGAAGGTCAAATAGTGAATTCTGATTATTATCTCAGAGTCCTCAATCGTTTGTGGATGAGAATTCTTCAAATTCGACTTGAATATCGAAAGCAAGGTTCTTGGTCTCTCCTTCACGACAATGCCCCACCCCACAAATCGAAGATCATGCGTGATTTTTTGGCCAGAAAAGGATCACAGCCCTTGATCGTCCTCCGTATTCGCCAGATTTGGCTCCAGCAGATTTCTGGTTGTTCCCAAAAGTTAAGTTGACGATGAAAGGAGACCGTCACAACACTATCCAGGACACCCAAAGGGAATGTACCGCAGTTTGAAATGTGATTCCACAAAAGGAGTACAGTGACTATTTTCGAAAACTTTCCAATCAATTCCAGCTATGTACTGATTCAGAAGGAGACTATTTTGAATAAAAAGAGTGACATTTTGAAAATAATTCATGTCTTGTATTTTTAATGAACGCAGTCCTAACAGAACCTGGACACACTGTGTATTCCATTGCTCACCAGGAAGTGGTGAGCAGTGAACTGTTAACACACACTGCAGTTCTAATGATCCTTTCATGAAACACATTATGCACATGTCCTCAATAAACTATGTTGTTTACAAAACCCCAGAAAGAAAAATTTAATGAAGTATAATCTGGAGATCAATGAAGCCAGAGAACTGGGCCCCCTCTTCTTACTCAACAATCAGGAACCTTCCTGTCTATAAAGCCATCAACGTGACAAGGAAAGTGAGGCACTCCGCTAACTGAAAAATTGTTTCCGTAGGTATGAGACACAAAGAAGGGTCCTCCACCACATGAACTTTCTCCCACTCACAGTGAGTTCTTTAAAAAAGAAATGGCCATTAATATCTTTCTTCACAGCAACCTGCATATTGACCTCTGGTAATTCAGGCTTATGTTTAGGAACTTCTTGAGGATTCTCACTACCACATACACAGTATCAGGAATTGTTCCTACTGTTACACAAGCATGTTGCTTCTAGACAAGCAAGCACACAATTTTAGTCTCTTGTAGAACAAGGCACATCTAATTCTAAACCTCCTTGGCAAAGAGACTTGTGAGGGATCCTTTGAAATGTTTTGCATATGCGCATATGTCCTTGGACAGTGAGTGGAGTGGAATTCCATTTCATGACAAGAAGCTCCCTGTCTTTTTCAGATGTTCATCCCAACGCATCACACATCCATGTAAGTTAGTGCTGCATGGTTGGGGTACTAACCAAGCAATAAATTTCAAGGAGCTGACTCCTTATTGAGAACCTGCCAGTTATGCAGCTATTAGAGAACTTCCCAACATTTTATAGAACCTGAAGGCTCATTACCATATTCACAAGAGCCCTCCACTGGTTCCTGTCCTGAGCCAGGTCAATCCAGTCCATACCACCCTATCTTATCTCTCTAACACACTTTCAATAGTTCAGATTATAGTGTCAAATAACAGTATATTTAGAGAACAATGAATCAGGAAGTAAATGGAAGAAAACAAAGTAAAAAAAGTAAAGCAAAAGAACTGTAACAGGCCGTAGAGGCCCATAGGACTGTGAGATGCTGAGATTCCCACATTTTCTAGACAACTGGCTCATAGATGGCGGTAAGGTTGTCAGCCTTACACACCAGCTGGCCTTTACCCCCAAGAATATTCCTGGTATTCATTTTTGTTAAAGGCTGAGCCGACCCCAGGGCCACTGTGCAGCTGGAAGGATTAGATAAATTGAAAAAATTCACCTCATCGAAATTCAATCCCGTGACCTTCTGGCTTGTAGCATAGTGCTTCAACCATCTATGTTACCACGAAAGAAAACAATCATAACAAAGTTTGGGGTTCTGCCCCAGCTCACAGGATAACCAGTCTCTGGGCCAAGATACAAATCCACAGTCTCCCAATTACAAAGCAGGAATGTTATTCACTCAAACCCAATGTTTGATAACAAACTTCTGCGAACTTGTTTCACCCACGTGTGCTCCAGATTCAAGGCAGCTCATCCTCCTTGACAGGATCATTTTGACTTAGCAGTCCCTAAACAAACTGAATAAAATCACCACCTCAGCCCTGGAGGTGCAACTTCTCAAAGCATGTACCATAAAAAAGAAAAACAATACAACAGTTTACCTTATTAACCTTGACCCCAATAAAACCACTACAGTTGGGAGCACCACACATGCAAGGTTTCTTGTCTGGACCAACACACTCCAAGTTATAGTTGAATGTAAGTTCTGTGCCAGCAGGAATATCCATCAGAGCAAATAATCCTACACGTGTGTCTCCATTCACTGTCCATTTCTGTGTCTCGCAATTTGGCTGGCATGAATGGTTCATAAATCTGTGAAATATAAATAATTGTAAATCTGTTAATAACAATCAGATGTCATGTTCTTGACAGTTTTCGGGATGTGATGTCATGCAGTCTGGCAGAAGGTAACCAAAATTTTTGGCAAACCTGCTGTCTGCCTTCAAGGTAGAAGAGTACAAGACATGAGATGACCAGGATCCCGATAAAGGAAAGCAGGAATGAAAACAGGACTGCAGTAGGCCAATGGGTGACAGAGACCCCTAAAGAAACGGGGTGCCCCACCTTGTTGCAGAGACTGTAATAGAGTTAAGGCCAAAATGGTTAACAAACAGTCCAATTCTTAGTCTGTTTCATGTTGATAATTAAAGTTTGTTATGAAATAAATTTTCCCATATCCAGAGGCCATGTAAGGTTAACTGATATTCCAGTAATCCTTTTTGATTCTCCAAACTACGAATGACCTATTCATAGCAAGTGTAGCAACTATGGACACCAGATGCCTCCTCCCTCCCCCAAAAGAATGCAGCATTTTTAAAGGACATGAATGTACAGCGACCGCCAGTGATGTAGTGGTCAGAGTTCCTGGCTAAAGATCCGGAGGTCCCGGGTTCTATTCCCGGCACTACCAGATTTTCTGAGAAGTAGTGTGTCTGGAATGGTGTTCGCTCAAGCCTCATAGGATAATTGAGGAGCTATTTCAAGGAAATAACATCTCCGGTCTAGAAAACCGAGATTAACGACCATGGGGATCGGCTGCGCTGACCACATGACACCCTGTATCCTTAAAAGTCGACACTAACTTCGCCTACATGCGGCAGTTGCTTGGTCGGTATGGTTCACTTGCAGAATACAGGCCACAGAGTTCATCTGTTTTTATGAATGTACAGCCCCACTAACAAAAAACTCGCAATGTGCAGATTGTAATGTAAGTATGGAGATAAAAAGATTTATTCAGTTTGAATCATTACAAACAAAAGTACTTTCTATTTTGCATCACACAATTTAATCTAACATTAAGATCAATAATGCATCCTGTTTTATCTCCACTCTCCTTATATGCTCTCATGGGATCATGAGAAGTACTAAGACATAGGCAAAATACGACCTTTTATCATTAAGAAGGCACGTAATAATTAAGATAAATTAAAATATCATTTACAAAGACCATGTCTGAAGAAGCGCAGGTCACTCTGAACTTACCGTGCAACATTTCCCTTAGGTCCTGCATCCAACATTCTGTCTTTGTCAATAGTCAAAAAGTAATAATTTTCATCCTTCTCCTCATGTTTCCGTGTCATGCGACGCTGATATTCTGCCTCATCGATCATTTCACCTACATATTCGATCACAAAATCTCCTGCACAAAGGATAAACAGATTTTCTCATATGACAGATGATAATACATCACAAAGAAAATAATTAACAGTTGAGAACTAGTGTTGCATTAACATGTCCTGGTTCTGTTACGACTCTCATTCATGTATCTTCCTGAATAAATAACTGTGGGCAAAGGATATGTGGGATAGGCTGATCCTCAGAATGTAAAGAAAATTGATTCAAAGATGAACTTACCTTTGCGAATGCTTTCAAGAGTCTTGAGACCCCAACCTCTGGTTTCTGTCCTATATGGAATAAGAGGTGGGTACAGTCTTTTCTCGAAACACTGATTCCCACATTTCTCTCCTGCCATACATACAGAAGGGCTACACTCCACCAGCAAAATCCTGTAGAGATCAAAATTAAGTCTCACTACCAGAAACAAATGAAAGAAGAAACATCTCTATTGTGGTATGTTAAGAACCTGAAGTGTCCTCTGTGTTTTGCTCAGTATGTTTTTCATACATGTACTAACCATCCACTTCGCAGTGGTATGCACTTCAATGTACCAAACTTGCCTCAATATAACCGCCCTCGAGTATGAGCCACACCCCCAAAATCAATAACAAAATATTATATGCACTTACATCATTGCATGTAACAATCTGAACAATCCAATGTAAGCACATTTCATATTACTCCAAGTGGTTACATACATGTTTGTGTGGAGTGAAAATAAATTAATAAATTACATTAATAAATTAAAAAAAAGACGTACAGTTCGTTTGTTAGGATAGTTGGTAAAACTGATCTGAATTGAGTGTGCATCAGTGTATTGTTCAATGAAAGCTAAAGAATAATTTCTTGGTCATAACAATAAACTACCTTCACTGAATCTACACTATCCAACGGATAAGAACTGGTTACAAGCTGCACCCAAATTTTAAAAGTTGTCTATTTGTGGGGATAAAACTGGGTGTCTTACATTCGAACAAAACAGTACATTCTTTAAACTAACATAATATACAATCTACATGACTTTTTGTTACTATTTTCTAGGCACATTAAAGAAAAGATATTCTTTTTTTTGTGTCTATCTTAAAAATTCGTGATTACATAATATTTTCAATCCTTCCATCTTGCAACATGTCTAATAGTGTAAGATTTGAGGCTTTCACGGCGGTGACCATGAAGAAAGCAGTCTTCTGGGATTTGGCACCGTGTATATGTGGTGTTAACCGACGTTTCGGAAGAACGTATCACCTCCATCTTCAGGGTAGAAGGAAAAATATAAGAAATCCGCAAGTGAAGAGACCGTGAGAACTGGTAAAAGATGGAGGCGATACGTTTCTCCAAAATGTTGGTTAACACCACATATACACGGTGCCAAATCCCAGAAGACTGCTTTCTTCATGTCTAATAGCGTCTGAAAGAGTGATATCATGTAAAAAATGTTCTCTTATATGCCACAATGCTCAGAAAGGAGAAGCAACACTTTTCTCTTTTGACATTTCCTTTTTACCATCAGTTATCAACATTTATCATGAAATACATAAACTACAAACTTTGAAATCCAGCACAATATAAGCATTTTCTGATCTCCAGATTAGTGTAAATGCCGCAAAACAGGAAAATGCCTTCCTGTCAGAAGATCAAAACTTATGATTAAAACTTATTGCTTCTGTCATTTGATACATCTATCACGAATGTCATGTTTTTCAATGCAAAACTGTAATATACAATTCCACTCTACCTGTTGAGACAGTCTGTATCTGGTCCACAGGGATTTGGAGAATTTGGATCACACTCACAAGGAGTCATGCCAGAAAGGTCCATCTCTGTCACCCTCACATTACCCACAGCCCTGTTACTTTTAATCTTCACATACATTGGTGGTTTCTGAAAGAAAAGTAAGATTACAGAACTTAGCCATTATCTGACTATTAGATCTATCTAACCTTCAACTGCCAAGTGCAGCCATAAAATTACCTGCTCAAAATTCCAAGGCTGCTTGTGGTAAATGTAACTGTACAGAAAAGTGTGCAATACTGTCCCTCAAATGACCTTCTAATATCATCAGAAATGTATCAAGTGAAAGCCAGTTCTTTTCTCTAAACATTGGTATGTCACACATCATGCCATCTATTGATATGAATGCTATATGAGTTCTTTTCTCTAAACATTGGTATGTCACACATCATGCCATCTATTGATATGAATGCTAAATGGGTAATGAGCTGATCACTTCAGTTTGGCAGTTCTTTTCTCTATACATTGGTATGTCACACATCATGCCATCTATTGATATGAATGCTATATGGGTAAAGAGCTGATCACTTCAGTTTGGCAGTTTTAATGTAAGGACCCTGAGCCAAATCTCTGACAATACACGGTATGCACAACTGAAATCTGTAATGATCTGAATTCTAACCAGCATGAGCCTGGCTGGTTTCTACCTAGAACAATACAAGTGCAGAAGGACCTAATGTTTAAAGTAATTTTAGAAGAGGCATGATGATTACTATCCTCTGGGATGTGACACTGTGTGGTCTGTTAAGACATTTACCAATATTTTGGAAGAAACTGCTGCCTCAATCTTCAGCGTTAAAGAGTAAGACAATGAAGAAAAAAGTCAGTGATATGGAGTTAACATGAGTAGCATATTTTCCAACAATATCTAGACTCTATAGCAATGAATGGTGGGATGAAAGATGAAATGGAAAGGATTCAGTAAGAAGTGGTCATGGTTGAATCAGGATACTAACCCTGCATTTGCCTGAAGGAACTTAATGCTTAACATGGCATTTGCCTGAAGGAACCATGAGAAACCTCAGTTAACCTTTAACATCCAAATGACACATAAATGTGATGCAAGCAGCAACCGGAGTTGGCTGAATGGCACATATGTGTCGCAGGACACGTGCACTCTCTGGGAGTGCTGACAGTTTGATCTTGGGTTTGAAACCAAAACAGACCTAGGTTAGGTCATGTCAGTGGTTCTATCCTTAGCTCTGAACAAAGAAATCGTTTACCTCGATCCTGGTTTCGAAACTACTCATGTTTATATGACCTGGTCAGCCAAATATAGCCCAGCTTTGTTCTGAGAACTGAAGAGGAAATATTCGTCGGTGCTTGCAGATCAGTGCTTCCAGAGCTTTCAAGGAAGTGTTATGTATTCAAGGATTGGTTTTCATTGGCGAATTATCAGTTAGGAAGTTGGTGTTGGATTGTGTAATATTTCTTTTTCACTTAAAAAGTTAGTGTCAGACTGTCATATATTTCTTTTTATATTATTTTGTGTCTCAGAAGAGGTATAAACCCACTGAGCCAGTATTACTTTGTGAGTAAAACGCATCTTCATCACTGTGACTTTCCGTATCAATGTCAGACTGGCACCTTTTTGACTACTATTACAATTACGTGGAGCAATCCAAAAGTTTCAGAAATTTGAATTTTGCCCACAAATGGTTATGAGTACATCGAAATACCGCTAGGTGTCTCCTCACACATCCTTCTTGAATCAGTGTGGCAAGTGGTGTCGAGTTGAGTGGTTGGGTTTATTGTTGGTGAACGTATTTCCATTGTTGTGTTTCCGTGAGTTTGCAGTTTTGCGATGGCTGACCTGAGAGAGCAGCGTGTCTGTATAAAGTTTTGTTTCAAACTTGGGAAAACCGCTGCAGAAACGCACCAAACGTTGAAGCAAGCTTTTGGTGAAAACAGTTTAGGCCAGACACAAACTTACAACTGGTATAAGCATTTTAAAAATGGCCAAACATTGACTGATGATGATGATCATTTGGAACAGCCGTCAACGGGCAAAACACCAGAAAATGTAGAGAAAATTTGGGATCTGATTCTGCAAGATCGCAGACTGACCCTCCAAGACCTCTGTAACACCTTGGGACTAAGTTATGGTACATGTCAACGAATTTTGTCAGATGAACTNTTTTTTTATATTGACGGGATTGTTCATAAGGAGTTCGTCCCTCCTGGTCAGACAGTCAATAAACAGTTCTATCGTGATGTTCTAAGGCGTTTGAGGAGGATATGAGGAGAAAACGTCCAGAGAAGTAGCGCACAAACGACTGGGTACTCCACCATGACAACACATGACCGCATACGGCTTACATTGTGCAGGAATTTTTGGCTAAAAACAAGATGGCATTTGTTCCCCACCCACCGTACTCACTAGACTTAGCTCCATGCGACTTCTTTCTCTTCCCCAAGATGAAAATCAAGTTGAAGGGGCGATGATTTGATACAGTTGAGGAAATTCAAGCGGAAACGCAGACGGTACTAAACACCCTAAGAAAGAAAGACTTCCAAGATGCATTTGAAAAGTGGCAGAAATGCTGGGAT